TTAACCTTAATGATTTTATCTTTAACTTTATCTTTAAGGTTATTATAGAATATAAAGATCTTACCTTTATTAGTTAAGTCTAGCTAGGTATAGATCTATTAGAACTCTATAGTATAGTCTTTAGCTAACTTAGTCTATTTAAGGCAAAGTAAGTCTTATTTAGCTTATTATTTCTTATTAGGGTCTTAGAATAGAGACTTTAGGGCGGACTTAAAGCCCTAGAAGCTGCTAAAAATATCTCTAACTTTAGTGGAATAGTAGTTAAGTATTTCCTTATTGAGGTACTCTTTAAGGAAGGGTTTAAACTATTAGAGGGCTTATCCCTTAAGGAAGGTAGATATATAGATAACCTTTTTAGTTCTATTCTTAAAGTTATTATAATAGAAATTCTAGTAGTTCTTAACTTAGATAAGGAATCCCTTAAGTTATCCTAGGGATCTATTAAAAGGATTAGGAGGGTTAAGTTAAAGCTTCTCTTATCCTTCTATAATAGGGGTAGTAATAATATTAGTAGCAGCTTAAAGAGTATAGTTCTACTATTTAAGTTCCTAAGTATGCTAGTTAGATAGTTATATAGCTTCTTAAAGTTCTTTAGTTATATAGGTATTAGCGTTAAATATTTCCTATATCTATTAAATATTATAGTTAGCTTATTTAAGCTATTCCTTAAGTATATTATTATTATTACTATTACTATTATCTTTTATTCTCTAATCCCTAAGTTCTTAAGTAAGGTTCTTCTTAATAGGGGCCTTCCTAGCGCTAGAGGAGGATCTAGTGCTAGGGGTCTTTCTAGAGAGTTATAAAGATATTATAATACTATTAGTAGTTTTTAAAGGGTAACTTACTAAATAGGAGTAATTAAAGTATTATAGCTAGCTAACTAATAGTGGGTTTATATTAGTAGTAAGTTAGGGATTAAGAACTATAAATAATAATTAGTTATTTTATAGGTCTAGTTAAGTAATTATAGGTCTTTAAAGGTCTTAGTAATTAGTTAAGGCCTTAATAAGAGTTATAGAGTAATTATCACTTAGGTATAGCTAAAAGTATTATAAGTAATAATTATAAGTTAATTACTAAAGAGCTATAGAAGTTTATCCTTAAGCGGACTTAAGTCTATCCTATATATAGGTCCTGGGTAGTCCTATTGCTAGGTGCTATATATGCCCTATACGGCTCCTGTATCCTTAGCATACAGCTTCCATCTTTCTGGAATATAGATGCCATATCTTAATTATATAGATCTAATCTCTTATCTTATTGTTATATAACCTATACTATAGTTCTTCCGTTCCTAAGGGATCCTTATGTGTTCCTATAATCCTATATATAAATATGTTATTATAACCGCCTAGTATCCTAGTGGGGCGTCCTTTATTGGTTATGCCTAATGGGTCGTAACACTACCGCTTTTCATCCACAAACCAATAGCTAAACAGAACAAATCAATCAGATCATAGAAACCTATCTACACTACTATATCAACTACTAGCAAGACAACTAGGTGTAATTACTACCTATGGCCCAGTTTGCCTACAATAGCGTAGTAGGAGAAAGCACAAAAGAATCCCCATTCTATCTAAACTATGGATTTAACCTAATAGTCTATAGAGAACTATAATAAGGCCTAGTAGCTCTAAAAGCTATAGTAGATATTAATAAACTTAAGGAAATCTAATAAGAACTCCTAAAAGAACTTAAATTTATATATAAATAGATATATAAATATATTAATACCTTAAGAGTTAAGGGACTAACTCTATAGGAGGGGGATAGTATATACCTTCTCTATAGAAATATTAAAACAAAATAACTAAGTAATAAGTTAGACTTTAAGAAACTTAGACCTTTTAAAATTATATAGAAGGTATTTAACGTTAACTTTAAACTTATACTACTAAACACTATAAAGTGCTATTTAGTCTTTTATATTTCACTTCTTAAAAAAGCACTAGTAGGTTTATATATAAAAGACTATATTATTATAGAACCCCTTAAACTAGAATATAAAGTTAAATAAATTATTAACTACTATAATAATAATAGAAATATAAAATATCTTATTAAGTAGAAAGGATATAGATATAAAGATAACTTATAGGAACCTATCAAGAACCTTCAGCATTCCCAGCAGATACTACAGGAGTATCACTAAGCAGTAGGAACCCAAGGTTAGAGAAACCCTCACCCAGACTAAAGTTTACTAATAATAGGTCGTTAGGGGCACCCCAAGAAGATAAGTCTAATACTACACGCAACTCCTTAGCATCTAATGTATACTCCTCAGCCTCCTACTCCTCTATAGATTATATACTATAATAAATTAAATCCAAACTATACTCTTTTAAGAAATATTTATATTTCTATAAATAAGATAAATAACCCATTATAGTAGCTAGCTATATCTAGAGAAGCTCAAGAGCCTCTTTAGCCTCTTACTCCTCCTGCTCAATCTTCTTCTGCTCCTTGAAACAACAATTCACTATAGTTATCAGCATAGAAAAAAAAAAAACAGAAAACCAAAATAAACAACTTACAAGCATTCACCATATCTCCCCCATCACAGTTGGACAGACCACAGCTTACGCATTTGCTGTAGCGCTTGGAGTTTATAAGGTCCATTTTATATACCCAGTTAAACTAGAAATATAGAGAGTATAGCATTACGTTATAACTATAGAGATTAACTAATTAACTAAGAGCTTAACGGTTTTACTTAATCTTAGTATAATAAGCCTCATAAAAAGGCTTAGAAGTTTTTTAAATACAACCTAATATAGTATTAGCATTATAGAAATAAGGAAGTATAATTAATAACTCCCCAACCTAAGAGCAATAACCTACTTATACTAGTCTTAGGGATAAGACCTTTAGAGAGGAGACCTAATATTATAACCTATTAGGCTTAGCTACTAATATAACCCCACTAGGCTCTTAGTAGCTAATATAGATATATATAACCTAGTAATATAAAGACGGTTAGGGATCCTTAGAAGGGAAGAACTATAGTATAAGTTATATAATAATAAGATAAGGATTATTTTGGATTAAAATAATCTAGTTAGACTTAGGGGCTAAATAATTATTCTTAATTAGAATGATCTAGCTCAACCTAAGGTATAAAGGCATATACTAGGGAAAGGACTTATATATAGGATGGACTTGAGCTCAGCTTAAGAATAGACTTCTATAGCTCTTTAGTAATTAACTTATGATTCTCACTTAAGACTTTTAGCTATACCTAAGTAATAATTACTCTATAACTCTTATTAAGGACTTAACTAATCACTAAGACCTTTAAAGACCTATAATTACTTAAATAAGCCCTATAGAACGACTTAATACTATTTATAGTTCTCAATCCCTGACTTACTGCTAACACAAACCCACTGTCAGTTAGCTGGCCGTAACATAAAGAGGGTTAAAGCTTAAAATTATATTAAAGATAATAATAATAAGGGTTAATATAAAATAAAGAATATAAAATAATATTTTAAATAGATAAAAAGATAAAGTTTATAATATAATCTTAATAAAAGGAATAGTCTCTTATAGATTAATATCTCTTATTAAGGTTTTATTCCCTCTAACCTTAAATAAGGCTATTTATATATTACTATATATATTATAAAGCTTATTAAAATAGAGTTTTATTCTTTTAGAATATTAAATATTAAATATATACTTATTAGGTATAATAAGATAATATTAATAGCTAGATTATAAGGGTAGCTATATTATAATGCGCAGCGTATTATATTAATATTCCATATTTAGTGAGGCTTAATTAGGCAACATTTGCCCATATCAAGCAGGCGAAATGATAAAGATAGGCGACAAGACTAAGAAACTAGCCTTGCCAGTCCCTTCTCATGTCAAATAGGTGCCCTGTTGGACAGGTTTATATCTCGGCAGGGGATTCTAGGCATGAGTTGAGTAATCTCTCCAACCACTTAGTTCTCATAAGAAGAAATGTGAAATTGCTGAGATAAACATTGTAATTCAGACTGTTCCAGCCAGGTATTTTCAAAATCAACTAACTCCGCGCCACCGAAATCCAAAATGCCAATGCAAATCCAACAGGCCAGGCCCGCTGCCAAGTCTCGTGTCGTCCAGCCACGGCTTTTTTGCAAGTCACGCTCCCAATGAGTCATCTAATTCGTATCCATCAAGTCGTCTTCACCGAGTCTCATCCCAGTAGAGCCCAGCCCGTCCGACAGATCCAGAAGTTCCAACTAATGAGCCTGGTTTCCGTGTCCCGAGAACAAGTTGCTGCTTCTCCTCCTCCTCTTGGTCTTCTTGCCTCCAGCGGGAGGCGCAGCGGGTGCGGCCGGAGGAGGCGCCGCCGCGGTACCGTTCGCCGGGGGCGTGGCGGGGGGGATGGCGCCGCCGCGGTTGAGGCACGAGTCGTTGTCCGGAGCCGCGACGTTGACGGGGATCTGCAGGACCTGGCCGACCTCGATGAAGTCCGGGTTGGGGATGTTGTTGAGCTTGGCGATATTGCAAATGCCCGAGTTGAAGAGGCGCGCGATCTGGCCGAGGGTGTCGCCCTTCTGAACGGTCAGAGTCACGGTCCGGTTGGCATTGTTGACGGCGCCGCCGCCGGCGCTCGGGGCGCTCGTCAGGGGAGGCGGAGGCGTCGCCGCTTGTCTCTTCGTCGGTGGCGGCTCGGTGGGCGTCGTTGCTTGACGAGGGGAGAACATATGCGATAGGCCGCGGGTGAGGAGGCCTCGGGGTTCGGCTTGGACCTCGTTCTGGCCGGGAGCGTTGGCTACGGGGGTAGCTTGGGCGATGCCCGAGAGGCCGGCCAAGACCAGGCAAATGATCGAAGATCGCATGTTTGTTGGGTTGTCGATGATACCGAGATAATGATTGTGCGAGTTGTCAATGAGTGAACAGACCGGCCGCTAAGAGTCTACGAGATGTGGGAGGCCGGAGAGTTAAGAAACCAAAAGAGTGTCCAATACCAGGGAGACTGTGGTTAGAATGAATGGCGTGGTCCGAGAGAGGTGAGACGATCCCCCCGTCTGTCACGGCAACTTTATATCACGCACATATTGCTCTCTTCCTTTCACAGAAAGTGACCGGCCGCCTCGTCAAGACAGCCCCGTAGTTCATTCGCTGTAATGCGATTGGATGAATGCCGGGGTTCGAGGTTGACGTGCCCATCCCGGGAGGCCACGCCAGATCCACCTCATTGTAACCTGCTTAACAGACACTAAGCCCTGTCGCCTTATGAACCTCCGCGTTGGTAGGAGAGCGGACGCTAGCGACGTGGAGTTTCTGACTGACAACGTGGTAGCGATCGTGTGAGGAGGGTGAACTCGAAAGGCCGCCCGCGAACTCCGAAGATAGCACGCAAAAGCTAAAATTATGGGGTTCAGATGGACTGAAACGGCAGAGAGCGCGGGGTCGATTGGCTGGATGTCTTCGTTGAGTCAGTTGTGTTGGTAGGAGTTGCTTCAGAGTTGACAGGGAAGAGCTGCCAAAGATGGGACAGAGACCCAGCAACTTGAGACGGATTCCACCCGTTCCCAGACGACTCTTTTGCTTGCCTTTCAAAGTCTATACACCATCACGACGGAAGGACGGCGCATGTCGTTCTTCATCACGAGTCAGATGGCTGAACAAGAGCCCAATGCCCAGCCTAACTTGGCGCGGAAAGCTCAGGCTCCCGGCCGCACCACTACCTCCCCCCTTGGTTCGAAAGATGGTGATGCCTACCAAGAGCTGCTGTTCAGTGAAACTGTTTGCGGGTCTCCCTGCTTGTCAGCATGCTAAACTGGCGAGAAAGGTTTTCGTCTCCTAGGAAATGGCATTTGACACGCAGCACTGCCACCCCTACCCAATGATCTGGAATGATTTGCGAATGACCGGACGAACTAGTGCGGTTTGGTGGTCACACCAGAAGCGAGTATGATCTTCGCAGGGAAGGGTTCCTACAAACCTAAATCACTAAGCCACCCTGCATGGCTGCCATGAAGCCGAAGTCTTTATCACTCACCATGCTGCCTTCGACGGGCCAAGTGTCTTTCTCCATCACCCGCACGAGTCCCCATTCCGATGAAACCAGAAGTAGGATGCGTCGAGAAACTTCCTATCTCACGGTTCAGTTTCTGGAGCGGCTCATTTGACTGCGCCTTCCGGTATCTCGGCGTTGAGATTCGGATGTATGAGTTCTGACTGGTAAAGGAATTATCAATTAGAGACATGACAGCGCCCGAGAAGCCGAATTTGAGAAATTATGAGTGTTTCAACATATTGAAGCAAACCTGGAGCTGAACTATCGTAGTTTCAATACATGATAGTGTGTCTTATCGCGGATTCTGGAAAGCAGAGCTTCGCCTAAAGGTAATATTTGTCACGGCAAGTCATGCTCAGCTATTTATTTCCACCAATTTCGGCCTTTCGTCCCCACATCTTTTGAACAAGAGCTAAAAGTGATCCTGGATTGTAAACAGCCAGCTGCATTCTTACACGATTCGCTAGGTATGCCCTCGGTGAAGGTCCGGCTCATGGGGCCTTGCGGCGTAGTCATCAGATGATGACTTCTTGGCAAAAACGGCTTGCTCTGCAAGCGCTCATATTTAAGCTTACTTCAATGTATCTGAAAATAATGCTTGGCCAGTAACACGTTGTGTTTGACCCGCGCACCGTAAACAGGAGCAACAAGTCTTTCGAGAATTACGACTGAGCAACCATGGTTAACATATGGTGTCTCGACCTGAATTGTTAATGTATTGATCAGCTAGCTTTCTGTACTTGAAAAATGCGCTTCATAAAGTCATACAGTCTTCACTTCGTTTGTGTTCATATCGTGCTATTGATAAAAGGTTGTCGGGTGCTGTAGAAAAGCGCAGTAAAGTTAACATAATTATTCTCTCTGTAGCTAGATAGTGATGTCAAATCACCCTGAGAGGTCCTCCTGGTTGACCTAGACTTTCCCGGTTGTTCGTTTCCCCAGTTTCCTCTTCATATTCCGGGCTTCTCATCGGATGGGGATGGAAGGAGATGTTTCCAGCGCAGGTCATGGTGAACACCGTCTCAAAGTCATCGATTGGCGACTAAATGTTTTTGTAAGGACTAACAATGCGTGAAAACTAAACAATTAGCGGGAATCAATTAGTTTGATCAAATGGTATACTACGGTATTTCTCTTTCATAGAACATCGCGGTGAACAAATTACTTCTGGCCGTCATCGTTACTCTCAACGTTATCTCGTATTGCACCATGCCTGCTGTAGATGTCCTCAAACGTCAAGCTTAGAGTACTTCTGTAAATGAACATGATACGTAAAGTCTACATCAATTTCTATCCAGCCTCGGCTCGAGAGATGAGTCAGTTACGAACGCCCCAGCCATTTCGGTCCAGCTCTGGCGAAGCGGCCCGGTCCGCAGCCCCACCGCCCGTGTTGCTGGGGCCGAACCACGGATGCGATCTCATCTTCGCATGTTGAGATGGTAACGCAAACCAGTCGAACTCAATCCAGAAGCCATGCTCTGTAATACGTCAATTATAACTGAAAGTTACCTCTGTCGCCAGTAAAGGCTGGCTGGTGATCACGATTAGGCTTTCTGTACCGAAGAGTTTTGAACGATGATGTATTTCGCTAATCTAGTTAGATGGGCGAACTACCCTCACCGACCACTTAATCGGAGTCATCACCAAGCTCCTCATTCTCACCGCCAGTGGCGCCGGCGAAGGCTGCAGTGGCCTTGCTGAATGCAGCAGCGCGCCTCTTCTCCAGCGCCTCTCCCTCCGCCTTGACGCTAGCCGGAGCCTTTGCGATCATCAAATCAGACAACTCCTTGCTGGCCGCCTCCGTTTTCTCGACGTTCTTCTTCACAAGGCCACCGACCTTGAGCTTGTCAAAATGCGCCTGGTTGGCAACCATGGAGTTGAGCTGGGTCTCGGTGAGGTCGACGACAGTGCTCATTTGGTTCAACAACTTCTTGGCCTCATCCTCAGAGGGATCGAAGGACTGTATTTCCACAGCGTTAGTAGCTTGTCTCCGTGTCTCCAAATCTGGACTAACTTACGCCGTAGTCTTTGATGCCCTTTTTGATCGTGCTGCAGATCGAGTTGGACTTGGCACCCAACTTGATGGCGTCCTTGTAGTTAAGGTCGCTGCCCTTGGCAATGATCTTATTGGACTTCGTGACCTTGCGCTCGATGTCGCTCAGGCTCTTGGAGATATCGGCGAAAGACATGATGAAGATTTGAGTGGTTGCGGTGAAAGATGCGAAGTTGGTACTGATAAGCTGATTCTGTCGTGGTGATGTTTGTTGTGATGATTGATGCTCAACTGCTGTAACCGACGTGATGATGAACCCTTTTTATCATCCCTCAAAAACAAAAACATCGTGATTCACATGCCGTTTGATGCCTCGGGTCGCCGTCACATTTCGACCACCAAACACAGAGCTGTCCACCAGAGCATGAACAACTCGCACCTGGGGAGCCCTGAGCTATGACGTGTTCCCAGAGCCGCAGCTTCAGGCGTCCGGCATCTCGCGGCGCTGAGGCCAGGATACGGCCTCGAAACATGAAACAATGCGGAGGCCGCCCAGCGATCCTCCGCAGCGAATCGTCCGTCTTCGACCTCACTTCACGACCCCAATTGTCCAAGACCTCGGCTCCTTTAGAGGAATCTAGGCGTCAAAAAACAGGTTACAAGCCTACAGCAGCTTCCAGAATAAAGACAACCTTCCCGAACATATTCATGCACGACAACGGTGATGTGCAGTTTGACAGGGAACACGTACGGCCTGCATCCCGCCGATCACTCGGCCGGCCGATCAACATGCATCGGGACCAGTGCGTGCGATCGTATCATTAATTGTTTGCAGTTATGGAAATTTCCTACACGCCGAATGCGACCCCACTGACGCTTGAGAAGCTGAAAGGGAAACATGGGGCCGCGTATTTGGGCATTGTCTTTTGAGGGTAATGCTGAGCTTGATGTGTTTCTTGTCTGTAACTGCCTCGGCCCGGTGGCTATTCACGTGGCTTTGAGCCCTCAGCCTCACAACTCGCATTCGGATATACACATGAATTTGGATTATGGCTGCGTTTCCTTTTGCCACTAAAACATAAACATTGTTTTGAAAATGTTTGTTCCTCTTTTGAATATTATGCCGATTGCCGACTGAGTGTTCAAGATTGGTACTGAGTTGTCAACACAGAGAAGCGATAAGTGTCCCGTAGCAGTTTATACGGGCTAATTCTGGTATCAGAATTGCTATCTTCAAAGCTATCTTTAGAATGATTTGAGCGCTTTCTGGCGTGTAGGCGAGCAAGTATGTGAACTCTCTTAACCTGTTTCAAACAACTCCGGTTGCCATTGCCTTAGCAACCGCTGAAAGAATGAACGAAATAAGACCAGCACTCACCTATTTCATGTCCTCAATGGTCAAATAATGAAAGCTCGAAGAGTTCTGAGGTTTCCCTGTTCCACTGAATGCAAACCAAGCAAACTTGATTACGCGCTGGGTTTTGAGCTGGCACCCTTACCCAAGAGACCATCAATCAGTATACATCAGATCTAGACTTGGGAACCTCTTAGGATTCCTATCATAACGTTAAAGACCTTTCCATCTGACCAATCAGACTCTTCGTTAACTTGTACAACCGAATACTGCCGATCAACTTCATATCAAACCCAAGCTAAAAATACCAGGCTTGCCATCGTTCTCTACAGTGAAAGTGCCTTCTGCTTTGGGTACTTGTCTTCTTCTACTACGTGTGTCTAGTCATTATTCTCCTCGTGAACTTGAGACTCGTGCTATCAACTGTCTCGTCATTGATTTCTCTAGGCTCACAAGCTAATGATGACCTTGAGATTGTCGTATGCAGGGGCGAAACTTGAAGCAACTAGGCGACATATACTTTCTTGTAAGTTGTAGCACTCAAGATAGAGCCAGCAAGCTAAGCGGAAGACTTCCAAAGCTGAAGTTGATCACGGTGAGACTTGTCTTTGACATTTCGGGACATTTCGGGATTCGTCGACGGTCATTTGAGTCTTCCGGGCTTTGCCGAGCCGCTTCAACTTCCGTTTCCGTACTTGCGAAGCGAGGGCTCCGCGGTGGGGCGACCGGTAGTCTTCCGTCGGATCCCGGAGATCGGAACACATGCAAAATAATGGCCGGCTCCAGACACCGAATCAATCGCCGAGGAGACTGGCGCTGGATTCATGCACTGAAAGTTTTCCCCAACCGACACAGAACGTGCTGAGTCATAAAACGCTGCTGAGGGGAACGCTTTCGAATGGCTGACGAAACGATGCTTATTACCAAACTTGAAAGCGGAGGCTCAAAAATGTCCACTGTAAGGCAGAAAAAGACGAGAAGGCTCAGTCAGTGGTATCTCATCAAATATCACTCAACCTTATCAACGTTTTAAAAACCCTAGGGACTGAAATTTGCGAAATGTTTCCCGGGATCTGAGAGCGAGCGTGCACGAGTGAGTTATCTTACAATATTCAGCGATGTCATTTAGGGTGTTTTAACTCTCAACTACGTGTGAGTTGTAAGTCGATACTGATTGAAGTCGCGACTGAGTGCTTTATCTCCTTTCTGCGTTGGCGTATACTTCTAATGTCTTCTCGGGAAGAAACCTTTGTCTAATATCTATCTCGACCGATGCTGAATGCCTGTGTGGTTTCTTATTGACACAGAAGAAGAGAGAGCAGTTCATATAATCTCGGTTTAACCAGCCTCGTTTTCATATTTCCTGAAAGCCTCGAAGTATCTATCTTGTCATTACAAGCTGAGGAAGCGTCTTGGCAATACAAGGGAACTCGAATCAATAGAAACGACTTGAGAGAGAATATAATGAGATGTAGGCTGTTTTTTTGTGAGTTTTTACATTTCTTTACTTTCTTTTTTGACGGGTTACTTTGGACTTTCAGGCCGGATTACGATGAGGACACACGTACTACGACCAACTTAAGATCATGGAAAGCAGTTGAGAGCATATGCGTCCACATCACCAGAAAGATGCTGCTGGTTAGTATTTTTCATGTTGAGCGCGGTGGTGCTTTCTTATTGCTTTGGCGTGTTGCGAGTGAAAAGAAGAGAGATCAGCCTTTAACTCTATCTCATCGAGTGCCAACTGACGCCGAATGGGTGTATGCCATCATAATTCCAGTTCTACTCTCAGAATCTCTGAGTTCATTAACTAGCCTAAAATGCAGACGGTGTCTGTCGGATTTGCTGACTTTGCAATTGGAAATTTTCGCCACAGCTGGTACTCGATGAGATACCCGCCGCTTCATTCTCAAAGGCAGGACAATGGGACGGACTATCTCATAGGTCATGGGAATGTCTAATTCACTGTATCATAGAAACGAAACATCCAAAAATTCCCATGTTTCCATGTCTACATCAAAAGCAATTTAGTAGCTGTGAAGTATTTGAGGTACATTGGAAGTCATGACCAGCACATGATGGTGCTGATGAACTGACCAGTCTCGGCTCCTAATCGTAGAATCCCAAGTCGATACGCAACAAGTGGCATTCAAAAGTGCCGACCGCAAAGGTTCAGGGGAGTGATGGACTTCTGAAAGTTGCCAAAACCTGATAGGAAATACTTCCCAACTACGCATCACAGAATTCGCCCGAAAAGTCACCGCACCATCTCGAATCCTTCGCTCAATGGTGTATGCTACAATGCCAAAATGGGCAGGTACTTTATGGCAGATCGGGCGTAAGCCGGGTTATGATAACAGGTTTCTGACCTCAAAACCGACAGTCTGTCACGAGTACCCGACCTAGCCGGGTGGCAAGCCTGACAACCTGGAAGCGAATTATCAACTAGCCAAAGATTACCATTGTCGAAGCCTCTATTCGTTCCAACGGCAGGAAGTCGCCGTGAAAGACCAACCGTATGAAAACAAGCTTTCAGCACCCCGCAGAAGCACTTTCCATTGTCCTGGTGTCGGTTCGATGTCAGCCGTGACAGGGTGCTGCCTGCATTATGCATTGAGACATCAGATGGTCAATATTACGGAAGCAACACAGGATCGAGCCCTCAGCAGGGTGGCCACAGTGGCAACGATTCATATCTCTGCACCTCGCATCCAATTAGAAATCTGATCTTTATCCAAACACTTAGGGATATCCGATATATCCATGATCCTGCACCGACTTTCTAGTGTACAGCTGGCCCACAGGGCTACCCGCATGGCCGGGAGGGATGTCACTCTTCAGCTGCAAGAAGCTGGATCAAAAGGTCGCCCCCGCGCGAAAGTATCTGCTCTGGGAATAGGCCTTCGGCGACCGGATATCATTGATGGGGCCTTCACGAACCGTTCCTATTTCAGCTTACTCAACGACATGATCATTGGAGGGTTTTGGTTCCAGCTCTCAGGGACCCTATGAGTGACCCTCCACAATGTAACTTGCTCGCGAGTTGAAAGAAACCACGAATACAACCGAAGTATCTCATTTAGAAGACCTCCTAAACAAGCTCATACATACACCTGGCTCATTTCGATTTCCTGGGACACGGTGCGTGTGTTAGCATGTCACCGTGCCACCTGACGCCGTCTCAACCGGCCAACGGCGGGGATCTGGGGAAATTGACAGGAATTTACGTACAAGAATCCGTTTTTCTTCGGATACTGTAGATAACCTTAAATGCCCAACACTGGGGAACCAAACGGTCAGCAGATCTTGGACTCGGAAGAAGGCGTCGACTTGAGAAGTTTGCCTCAATAGCAGACCCTCGGTCTGATTCTCTGCCGGACTGGTGAGAAGGATGCCGAGGTTGTTACTGAGTCAGTGGCGAGCCTGGTTCGTTCCAACGCCAGATTGCAGAATGAATTACAATTTGCATTGTCACCAACAAACTACTTGTCTCGTTTTCGCCATCGCCGCCTTACGCGACCTTCTGAATGCGTGGTAATCCGGCACACCCAACAGGAAGCTGCTTGGAAAAGCGTCGGACGAACCATCCTTCTCCAGCTCCTCGGGTCCAGCTCGCAGGCATATCCAGTCGAAAAGGGCGCGTCTATCGGCGGCGAGGAACGTTTGCGAACCCGCCAAAGCGCAGAAGACCCCCGTTGCGGAGGATGCGAAGGAACTTTTTGAATCGGTTGGTCGGTCTTGTGTCATTAACCTGACAGCCTCGATGACATTTCAACCGCCTGATTGGCTTCTCTGCCGACGGATATGCCGCTACTTCCGACGTCCTTCCCAACGTTGACAAGAGTTCCCTGCAACTCGGTTCATGAGTGGCTAGCAACTCGCGTACCTTCGCAGGGGTGGCCGTTCGGATGATTTACTGAGAAAGTCTTGGCCTCATCGAGACAACACACTAGACAGGGGACTCCCCGTGAACCCCAAGGGCCCTTTGCACGCGGAAGATCCACCAACGCGTTCCCTTGCATGACTTTTTGTTCGGAGAGTGGCGACGGCAACTGCTTGCGCCGTCCAATTGCCATTGTCCTCTCAGTGTGCCCCCTTGACAGTCACCGTTTTGGCGGCCTTTCCACGCATTTTTCCCCGGCCTTAGCACTCTTGGCCACCCGTCCTGGGCGTTGCTTGACTGTTGCTTGGTGTGTCTTGGGCGCCATCCCGTGCCGGTGAACCTCCGGTTTGCAGCATCGCCATCTTGGCGCCCAGCTTCCTTGGCGATGGAGCTAACAGGCGGCTCTCTCACTGGCTGACTGCGAGTGTTGGACGACTCCTTCTGCTGACCTCTGCTGACTTTTCGTCTCATAAGTTGGTTCCTGGAGGCTGGAGGAGCGACAGCGGAGAGTAGCGGAGGCACGGAGGACGCCGGCGGCCATTATGGCGGCGGGATGGATCAATTGCGCTTGTTTGCCAGCCGACCGTCTTCCTCCTAGTACGCCCTAGAACACGTCCGTTATTTCTAAGGAGCCTATCATAACGAAGTGTCTCTCGAATCATTTAGCAAACGTTACGCCTAAGTTGCTCCGCGGTCGCAACGTCTCATAATATCATCCAGTCAACTTTCAATGATCGCTATCAACAGGGTGGAGAAGGATGGGCACAATGTCCACCCCCATAGTACCACCCTCCCACATTCCATGCAGTTTGTCCCCAACATGTCGGTCGTTCGCGGTGGCTCGAACGCGGGCTAGTAGCCTACCTGTCACTCGTTGTCTGCGACAAGATGCCGGTGTAACCTATCAATCGACATGTTTCCCCCCTCCCTCGGTTTCTAGATGGTGGCGAGATACCAGGACCTTTTGCATCAGCCGGCGGCCCAGGTGATTTTGTTAATCGGTAACGTCAGTGGCACAGTACATCTGTCAAGCCAACTTGACAATCACTTTTGGATCAGTCGAATCAAGCTTCCCGGGCGCATTTGGCAGTAATATGTAGCCAATTCATATCGGCCGATGCTCCGCCAGGGGTTGGCCCGCTTCGCAGAATGACTCCATTAGGCAGGTAAATATCTCGGCCCACCGAACGCCGATATGGGAGGTTGCCAACGGATGTGGGCGAGTGACACAGATAACCGCGGATGCGTTGCGCATCTAAATACAACTCGATGCGCCGTCCTCGTTGATGCGGTTTTTCGAATCCAGTTCTCCAGTTGTCACGGCGAACAACCTCCCCTTTGAGTTTCTACCTCTTAGAACTCAGGGCCTAATTTCACCTCAACGACCCAAGCCAACAAACCCCATCAACAGAGGACAATGGGTTTCAGCAAGTGGCGAGGCAAGGTGTCGGAACGGCCCATCGTGGTCGATGCCGTCGCAACTGGCATTGACGGCGAGGTCAACCCCGACGCCGAGCTCAAGAAGTTCAAGAAGATTCACAAGTGGGATCCGTTCTTGGACATCGACAAGCTCGACGATGCCGACGAGGCTATCGCGACTGGCGACTACGAGAAGGAGAAGGCCGTCGAGGCCGCCCTTCACGAGGACTCTCCCTACCCTGAGGTCCGGGCTTCGGTATGTTTTGCGATACAGAGCTCGGGATCCGAATGACAAGACTAACATTGGCAGGTTCAACCTTTCGATGACCCCGATCTGCCCATTAACACCATCCGCGCCTGGACTATTGGTGCCGTCATGTGCACCATCATCGCGGCCTGCAACATTCTGCTCGGTCTCCGTCGCTCTCCCATCACCATTACCGCAACCGTCGTCCAATTGATCTCCTACCCCATGGGTGTCTACTGGGCCAAGGTCTTCCCCGACAAGACGTGGACCGTGTTCGGTCTTCAACTCCAGCTCAACCCCGGCCCGTTCAACGTCAAGGAACACACCATCATCACCATGATGACCGCCGCCGGTGCCACCGCCAGTTACGCCATCGACATTCTCCTCGCCCAGGAGCTGTTCTACGAGCAGTTCTTCGGCTGGGGCTTCCAGCTCCTGCTCATCATCTCGACCCAGGCCATGGGTCTTGGAATCGCCGGTATCCTGCGCCGCTTCCTCGTCTGGCCCGCAGCGATGGTGTGGCCCGCAACTCTGATCACGACAACTGTCATGCACTCTCTTCACGATCACTCGTCGTCGGACCCAGCCCTTACCAACGGCTGGAGGATAGGCCGCTACAAGTTCTTCCTCATTGTGGCTGCCTGTACTTTCTTCTACGAGTGGATCCCTGAAGTCATTGCTCAGTTCCTCCAGATCTTTACCTTCGTTTGCTGGATTGCCCCCAACAACGTCGTCGTTAACCAGGTCTTTGGCGGCCAGACTGGTCTTGGTCTGATCCCCATCTCATTCGACTGGAGTATCATTTCCGGATACCTCTACTCTCCCCTCCAGACCCCCGCCTTTGCCATTGCCAACGTTGGTGTCGGTATCATCATCATGATGATCGGCTGCATCGGTCTTGCCTGGGGTGGTCCCGATTTCTACCGCTACCTCCCTATCAGCGCCAACTCCAACTTCGACCACTTCGCCACCTCCTACAACACCAGCCGCATCCTGACTCCCGACTTCACCTTCAACGAGACTGCCTACAAGGAGTACTCCCCTCTCATCCTTGGTCCCGCTTTCTCCCTGAGTTACGGCATGGGCTTCGCCGGTCTCATCTCGACCCTCACCCACGTCGCCCTGTTCTACGGCAGCGACATCATTGCCCGCACCCGCTCCGCCAAGAACCAGGAGGCCGACATCCACCTGAAGCTCATGCGCAAGTACAAGGAAGCTCCCGAGTGGTGGTTCTTCTCCATGTTCGTCGTCAGCTTCGTCTTCGGCATGGTTGCTTCTCAGGTCTGGAAGACTCACTTGACCTGGTGGGCGTACATCCTCTGCATTCTCATCGGTGTCTTCTTCATCCTTCCCGTCGGTATCATCCAGGCCGTCACCAACCAGCAGACCGGTCTCAACGTCGTCACCGAGATGATTGTCGGTTACATGACCCCCGGACGCCCCGTCGCCATGATGTTGTTCAAGTCCTGGGGTTACATGCTCTGCTACAACGGTCTGCAGTACGTGTCTGATATGAAGGTCGGCCACTACATGAAGATTCCGCCTCGCACCATGTTTGCCGCCCAGTCTTTCGCCGTCGTCTGGTTGTCCCTCGTCCAGATCGCCACCTACAACTTCCTCCGTGGCAACATCGAAGGCATTTGCACTAAGGATCAGGCTCAGGGTATTACGTGCCCTCAGGCTCGTACCTTCTATAACGCCAGTGTCATTTGGGGTGTCATCGGTCCGAAGCGCATGTTCGGAGCTGGCCAGCTCTACTCGTGGGTCAACTGGTTCTGGCTCATCGGCTTCATCTGCCCTGTTGCCCAGTACTTCCTCGCTCGCCGTTACCCCCGCAGCTTCCTCCGCTACGTCTTCTTCCCTGCCATCTTCGGTGCCGCTGGTATGATCCCTCCCGCCACCACCTGGTGGCTCGGTCAGTGGGTTATTGTCGGTCTCATCTTCAACTGGTGGGTTCGCAAGCGTTTCTTCGGCTGGTGGAGTAAGTCTTTTCCCTCTTTCCGTGGTCCTGCTCTTACTGACATGTTCTTTAAGCTCGCTACAACTACGTCCTTTCCGGAGCTCTCGACATTGGCACCGCGCTTTGCATCGTCATCTCTGGCCTTGCACTGGGTCTTTCAAACACAGAATTCCCTTCTTGGTGGGGTAATACTGTGTTTGCGAACAACTTGGACAACGATGGCGCCGTCACGAAGGTATTGCCAGATGATGGTTCCTTCATTGGACCAACATCTTGGTAGGGTGGTTGGACGGCATTATGGCCGCACATATAGCCACGAAGTAATGTTTCACGTACATAATGTATCGTAATAATAAAAGAACAGAATGTTTTCAAGACTATGAATCGAAAAAAGTGCAATGCGAGTTACATATATACAGGCCCACAAGAAAACCTTTCTTCCTCAAACATCACCCTCTGCTGGGATTCTTCCTTCTTTCAGCAAGTATCCGCGCCTCCTCTATTATCACACTCGGTCAATTCAACTATAAGACACACCAACTACGCCAGATTCTGCAAAAGCAGGTCTCTCACCTATCTGAGAATCAAGTTCAAAAGCACCGTGCCTAGGTTTTACAAATCTGGAAGACCTCCATCATCTAAGAACGATTTTGAAGCACGACTTTACTCATATAGAAAGTTCCTTGTCTGGGAATCATTTCGAAGAGTGCGGCCTTGCAAACCTGGATGGAAGGCCTCACTCGTCTGTGAACTGCTTGAGAAGAACGGTTTTAGAAATCCGATAAGGGTCTCCTGATGACGCCAAACTCTCGACATCAGCCTGCGGTCGGTTCAGGACATGACCTGGAGTCTCAGACGGACGTGGAGTCACATCCTACCGGCCATCCCACGAAGCGAGTTGCCGATCCGGATGACGATACAACACCACCAAAGCGTCAGTTACACGAGCAGAAAGAAGAGCCGAGCTGTGAGTGCTCTGAGAAGTTTTCTTTGGCCTGTTCTAATAAGTCTTTATATCCACCAGTCGCCGAATACTACATACCGGGAGGGAAGCTCCTCAAGTCGATCAAATCTGGCCCTTCTAGACCTCGATTTCGACTGCTAGCGGATCCCAGCAAGGGCGTACATGGAAATCGAACGGACGAGTTGACAAAGGGGCCCAACCCCAAACTGGTTGGGAAAAGAAACATCACTCCTCCGCAGGCCCTCGCAAAAGAGGATCCGTTTGCCTTCGTTTACTCGATGAGTCTGGTGCCCGGCCGCAACTTCGTTCCTGTTGTCGTGGATGAAGGAAAGCCAGTGGCGGGCAGATCGTGAACCCTGAAGGCGAAACAGCAGGGACAGCCAACACGTGTCTTTGTCATCATCAAGTAGATGGACTACAGCCGTGACGAGGCTAAATTGATCTGCCAGAAGCTTGTTGATGCCTTGATCCGATGGCCAGAAATCAACAACATCATAAATCGACAGTCGGGACAAGGCGACCAACTTGCGACACGAACCCTTTTCTTAGCGGCTCAGCAATCCCTGTTCCCCTCTAAGCCGATCCGTGTAGCCACAAAGTAATGTTTCACGTACATAATGTATTGTAATAATAAAGAAGAGAATGTTTTCATGACTACAAATCGATGAAAGTGCAACGCGAGTTACACATATTCAGGTGCTATGATTTAATACTAGGCACTCAGCCGAGACCACCTTTCACACATATATTGCCAGCCACCGCCAGATGGCACAAGCGTCAAATAACCTTAGCTTTACTTAATATGTTACCTCTCCTGCCCTTCTAATAGAAGTTAATTAGTCTTGTTGTTATCCCTATGATTGTTAGTGTTATTGCTGGTAAGATTGCTGTTGTTGCTGGCGCTGTTGCTGTCGTCGTCTTTGTTGCTATTGCTGCCTTTGTCGTCGTCGTCGTCGTCGTTGCTGTCGTTTTCCGAGTATTCATCTGAGAACAATACACTTCATAGATATCGGAAACAGTTTTATGTATTCAATCCTCAGTTCAGGTCGCACAGCATGACACGGCCGAGACACTGGACACTTAACTGGAATTCTAGGGCGGAAGGTGCGCTCCCCCTTACGTAAGCAGGCACTGTGGGGCTAGGTATCCACGGCGATACCTAGCAGTCGGGCGCACGGTCCATGTCTCGGAGTTATTCAATAACCCCTGCAGCTCTCCAGGCGTCGCCTACCTACCCATCACAACCTCAACAAGGTCTTCACAACAAGATCTTAACAGCCACTGCGCCAGCCTTTGTAACATATCACAAAGGCTGATGATTGGTCAGCCATCAGATCCCAGTCGACCCGATTCGCAATTCTGAAAACCCAACGGCTCCTTCCAATCTAACTTCGACAACTGAAATCTGCAAGTGAGTTAGCCCTAATCTTGGACTTACAAATCCAAAATGAGTCTGTTCCAGGCCTATTTCTTAACTCTTATCAAATGCTGATGCGTATTTAGCGGTTCTCCAGAATGGCTCCAGGAAGGAACGGCCGTGTTGCTCAGATGAGGGAAAATGCTCCTCTACCCTCCGATTTGTCGGCCAGTGGGGAGGATTCAGACAACACCACCGAGGAAATTGCAAGACCGAAAAAGCGCCAGAGAAGGAATCCGGCCCCTGGCACTTTCGATACCGAGGCTTCAGAGTGGCCCAGCACGGCTCTCGTCATCGACCCTCACGACGACCGAGTTACGTCGGGAGAGTACCCTTCATGGAGCCGGCCCCTTGGAGAGTTGCCTTTGCCTCCTCAACCTCCTGCCGGGGACCGTCTTATGAATGAAAGCCAACAAGCGGTTTGGGACGCGAAGGACATGAAAGCCTCTGAGTGGCACTTGGGTCGACCGATTCCACGCTCCATCGGACGCCGATACTTTGTGTCTCGCCACAAGTTCAAGCGAATTGAATACAAACCTTCTGGGGCGAAACTTGGCTCAAGGCGATCAGAGCTTATCAAGCAGCACGCTAAAGACAAGAAGGAGTCCAAAGTCGCCTTGCTCGGGGTGAACATCTTGGTGGATGCAAAGTCGATGGAGCAATTCTGGGGTAATCTGCTCATTCCTTATCTTGGGTTCCCGGGTCAGAATGAACTTTTCACCTTCCTGGACGTCGATGGTAAGTTCGCCGCGCGCAGGGCCAGATTTGTGCAGCCCAAACGAGCCTCTTGGATTCCCCTTCGACATGGATCAAAGACTGACTTGCTATGTAGTGGCTGCCGTTCTACAAGTCTTCACTGAGTTTTGGCTCACGAAGTCCGGACAACTCAAAACTGGCGTCCAGAAAACAAAGGCTATGGGCAAGAAGAAGAACCCGGCTAAATCCGAAGAGGCCGCTGCTGATTCCGACGCCGGGACTCCAGAGCCATCGACTACAGCATCCGAAAAGGTAACTGCAAAGAGAATGCCATCCAGAGACAAAATCTGCAAGTTCATTGCTTCCCTCAGCGACGCAAAGATGGATTATCTCCGGGTTCTGCTCAAGAAGAACTATCCAGATTTCGTTCTCAACAGATGGGGCAAGATCATTCCTGCAGAAGACCTAGCGAGGACGCCATTCGCAGATGTGAATTAGGAGGCTACATTCGCATTGGCATGTTTCCAGCTAATGCTGCATTTTCCCGACGTTTTCCGCGAGCACATCAACCACAACATCGACGGCATCACAAAAGACCCGAAACTTTTCGTCTGGGGCCATTCGCATGAGGATTGGAACAGAGCTCGCATGACAATTGTGAATCTGCTCCACCGAAGAAAGTCAGAGTTCCAGACGTGGGCTACCCGCTCCTTTGCGTCATCAGCCAGCGATCAAATTGAGTGGGCGGGCTTATTTACTCCTGAAGACGCCGTGGCTGCCGGAAAGGAGCAGGAGCTCAGCCGTGCCCAGGACTTCAGCCGTGCCCAGAAGATCGGCCTTGCCGCCATGGAATTCGAAGAGTTGCTTCAGAGAAGCAGCACGTATGACCCGAGTATTGAAACTCTGGACCCCGATGAATGGGCTGAAGAGGAAAAGCATCGTCGTTTCCGCGACCAACTTGAATCCTCTGGCATGAAGGAAGTCTTGAAACTTTACGACACCCTGTACGAGGAGGGTCTGTCTGACACTGAGTGCAAGACGCTTCGAAATGCCATCAACACGGAGAAGATGCACAAGGTGTATGCGAAGTCCCAGAACACGTCGAAGAGGGCTGACGCTGTTGATGGGACTGCCTACCCGGATCTTTCCGAGCAAGAGATCATCCAGCTAGAGAAACTCTGCGAGGAGCGATCTTTTGTTCAGGTTGATGAGCCCCTCGACACCCAGCTTCTAGACTCCATCAGACAACGTCAGATGATGAAGTCTGTTGCAACCAGCGAAGGGAGTTGCAACATTCAGCTTCAGAATGTTGACTTCGCGGCCGCAGATTCCTTGGGCGCATTCTTGGAGTTTGACGATTCCGAGGACAACGAGCTGGAGTGCTTGAGAATCTCCCGCTTGCTGATGGGAGGGGCCACGCCCCCTGACGAGGATCTTGTCGGTATCAGCAAAAGGGTTGAGTGCATGGAAGGCAACACGTGGGAAAACTTCTACATCCACAGCGAAAAGCGAAATGTCAAGCTCGCGCCTCACCAGCAGTGTGGTAAGTGGTCGAAAGCCGATATGGGCACTCTTTTATGCCTTCATCTGCTAACTCTTCGCCATAGATATGAACTGGGCAACCCACATGATGCTCGAATACCCTACTCACAGCTGCATCATTGCCAACGAGTGCGGAACCGGGAAAACGTACACTTGTCTCTTCAGCATCGTTGAGACGATTGAGCGTTACATCAGCATGAATGCTGGTAAACCGGATGCGAACTATTACCCGAGCTTTTGGAACTGTCCCGCTGCCACCCTGGACCAGACTTACCGAGACATGGACTTCTACTTCAGCGACAGGGTGAAAATTCATGTTTTCTATCAGACGCCGGATTCCGCGCCCTCTCATCGCCGACGCGACACCATCGCTGGAACTGAAGAGTTTATAAGTCTCACGCGGAAGTGGAAAGACGGCGTTAAGAATCCCAAGACGTGCCGAAACCTGGTCATCACTTCCTACTCGACGTCGAGTATCAGGTTGAAGAGGGCGGCCACAACAATTCGCCCGTCGGCGAGTGGTGAAGAGATCCTCGGTGAGGACGATGAGGAAGACCTGAGCCCGGAAGCGGAGGCCGACATGGAGCAGGAGATTGCTGCCAGCACCGCGGAGACGGACCGAACAAAGACGAAGTTCACCAACCCTTGCGCCTGCGAGTGGCTGATTGGCGCCTTTGACGAGGGGCACGCAATGAGGAATCCGGCCTCATTGACATTCCAGATCGTGGAAGAGATGAAGTTCAAGTTCAAGCTTATCGCCACAGCGACACCCATCACCTCCGGTGTTGAAGACATGACCGGCTACTTGCGTCATTTTTGGAACAAGGCATTCGACTGTATGTGCTTTGATCTAGTTCATTCTCCGATTCTCAGCACTATCTACTCCGATCAGTACGTGGAGGCGTTTAAGAAGAAAGATCACGACACTATGAAGAGACTTGGGGTGCCCTTGGATGCTCTCATGGGCCACTCAGAGGTTCACATTGCTCTGCAATCCCTGATTGATGGCAACAGTGCTCCCGTCAGCGCGGAAGATAGAAAGGCACGAGATGAATACCGCGACGCTCTCAAGGCGGGCATCCCTGTCTACCTGCTTCATCCGGACAATTTTGAGGCCCTTGGAGTCCAAATGAACTGGTCGGCTGCTTCCACCTCCCATGCATTCAAGCATGTACTGAAAGAATGCCAAATCCGCCGTGGCATGCTTAGCGAGATGACTTTGCCGAATGGAAAGGTGACTTCACCCGGACAGGATATGCCGGCGATTGAGGTTCGAACCGTCGAAGTTGCTATGGACCCAGCTGTGAGCAAAGGAGTCATGGCTGAGGTGGCTGAGATGGCTGAGTTGGCTGAGATTGACGTCCATGGACGCAGCTTGATCATCTCCGGGCCTTCGGAGATTACACCACCTGAAGAGGGCGCTGGCGTTGTTGACGATGGAAAGAAGCCCGTAGTCAATCGCGCTGCCCTGCGGAACGCCAGTCTACTAGGAACCGACGCAAGGTCCTCTCGACTCATCGATCCGAATAACCGCCTTGGACAGGCTGTACGAGGCGAAGAGATCAATCGAGCTTTTGCGAAGGACCGAAGCAACGGATTACAGTGGTATTTTTTTCTGACCAGGACTGATCCATCTTTCGGGTGCCCAACCGACCCTCTTTCTCTCATTCGGTATGCGATCTTCCACTCTCCAAAGATCGCCTATGCTCTCAATCATGCCCTGAAGCTCAAGGCGAGAGGCAAGAGATGCCTGGTTTACGTGAACAATCCTCTTACCGGACCGTAAGTCATTTCTAATTTTTCTTGATCCAAGACTCGTGAACTTTTGGCCTTGAGAATTCCAAATGGCCCTTTCCCAAATTCCTGACGTGCAGCGGCTAATGAAGGCGTACAGAAAGGTCAATGCCATCTTCAAGATGGCAGGTCTCAAGGTTTCTTATCTGCGATCAGCAATGAACCAGCAAGAGCGCGACAAGGCGATTCTCGATTTCAACACCCCTGGCTCCGAAGTCGACGTTATGGTCACCTCACTCCTGCTGAGTGCCTTCGGCGCAAATTATCATAAGGCGTGCCATCACGGAATAGTCATTGAGAACGGGCCTAACCAGGCTACACTGACCCAGGCCTTGGGTCGACTTTGGCGTCTCGGTCAAACGCAGAGAGTGGAATGGATAATTCTCCAATGCCAGAACACCTTCGATGCTTGGATCGAAACAAAGAATCTGCAACGCACCATCGGAAGCATTGAAGCCGAGGCTGAGATGGACAGTCGGATTACGGGAAAACTCAGAACCGTCTGCGCGTACGAGCTTGCGAGAATGTCAATCGGCGCTGCGTACTCATACTATCCTCGCCTATTTCACGGATGGCAGGACTACAGCAAGTCTGCAGTCCGTGAAGAGGGTCTTCTGTACAGCCAAGTCGCCCAGTATGCGATCTTACACCCCGAGGAGGCTCACAACATTGCTGCCAGGTTGGTGGCAGGAGATGGCGACATCATCCCTGAGGTGATCAATTCTACGGCCCCTCAAACCTAACCTCGAAGAAGGGACTCAACCATCGGTTCATGTAATGGCGGAGGGGAAAGAAGGAAAATCGGGGCAGATTTTATAGTATTCAATGATCAAGACATCGTTGTAAGCCAACATTTCCAGAAGCTCGTCTTTAAGAGCGGTAGGCCCAAGGCCAACGATCTCATTAAGGTGAACCAGTATATAACTAGAGACCTTTTTAAGATGCCCCCATGGCTTGGACGCCGCTAGGGAAGCCAAGATCAGGCACTCAGATCGGACTTTTGCGGTTTAACAGTAGCGCCTTGCTTTACATTGAACTACCAAAACTCTTCGCTATTTCTTACTCATCCTATACATAGAGCTACGATTGCGATCTAGAAGACGTTGTCGCGAGAACAAAAGACTTCGGCGTCTTGGACTCGATGGCATTAAGCTCCATAACCTGTTGAGTGGACAGATAACCTTCCAAGTCTCCGTGAACACCGCCGCCGACGTCCTCCCCACGAGACGTTTTGGGAAAGGACGGGTTCATCGGCGATTGTGGAGGCATGCTTGGTGTCGCGGTGCTGTTGGCTGCTGTGCCAGTGCTGTCTGTTCCTTTCGAGGAGTACTTGCGAGAGCCCCGGGAAGAGCCACGCGAACCGGGTGAACAGCACAACAGCGGTCGCAAAATGGGTACGCAAGCGCACATCAACGCGCAAGTCGGCTCGGCCATGCTGATCATCACGAGGGGAACCGCGTCGTACAATGAATCTTCGGACTCGATTCCGGCGCGGAGGGTGACCATCTTCATGACGGATATCGCACCTGTGCTGTGGCGAGTTAGAACTGGCTCTTTGGCTCGGACAGGAGGGGAGTTGGAGAGCTCACAGGATGCCAACGGCGAAGCTAGCAATCAAGCCAACCTTCTGCATGGTCGCTAGCTGTAGTGGGGCGACGAGGGGCAGAGGAAGAATGAAGATGATGATGTCCGTGGCAAAGTGTACGGCAGCGTTTGTGTAACCCCATATGAGGAAGGGTCCTGACGTGGACTCGTCGTCGAGGAATTTCTGAATTACAATGCCGCCTGATATCAGTGTTCCCACCAGGAACACGACGCTGACGAGTAGGAAGACGTCGCAAAACAGGCGCACTGATTTGATGGCGAATGCCCTTCGGTATTGTAGAAGAAATGTCGCCTTGATTGTGGTAAAGGCAACTTGGGAAATGAGGACGGTTGCCATCAGGTACTGGGCAAATCAGTATTAGAAGTAAAGTTTGGATGGGGTTTTCATACGTCGCCGTTCTTCTGCAATCGGGGAATCGATGTATCCCAAATATGGAAACCGAGTGATCCGTCCGTAGAATCTGGGCCGACTTCGTCAATCTCATGCGCACCTTGCAATAATGGGTGGTATTTTAACTCACTGAGAACAGCTGCCACTCCTTGAGCGATGATGAGGAACTGGATAACATTAGGGCCGAGTCGACAGGGCTTCGGACTTCGCAACTTACTCCGGATACAATGAAAAAGGAGTCGTCGAGCCCCCAAGCTTTCAACACATAACCTCTGACATATGCTCTAATGAGCATAAACGTAACAACAATCGTGAAGAACATAGCAATGATGCCAATCAATAACCCCTGTTTGTTGTCCTCTGGGAGAGGACCCATCGTAGCCGGACCCGAAGGAGGACCCGTCGACATTAGGTCCAGCGTGTCATTATTATCCATCTGCATCATTGGAGAAGTCGGACGCGGGAATGGAAGAAAAAGAGAAGTTTTAGTAAAATTGAAGATTAAAGTCCAGGGTAAACGGCTAAAACACGTTTTGGTCGGGACTCTCAGTCGTTTCTTTGGCACAGGCACATGCTGGCGTCCCGCGGCCGAAGGTGCCAAAAGTGTGGTGTGGGATCAATAGGCAGGATTACAGAAAGTAAAGAAGAAGGAACCGAAAGATTGAAAAACCAGGGTTCAAGGTGCGCCGATGTATTTCAGCTGATGTACTGGAGTTGCACTACTCGATGTAATGGCCGCGTCTGGAAAAGAGTGAGGTTCCGTAGCCACTTAGGGCGTGTTATGTGGAGGCGCCGACCCGGATGCGGCACTGTGATGACGGCCTGGCCGTCGTTTTCGCTGTTGGCATGACCGCAATGGCGCAGATGGAACCTAATGGGCAACGCTCTGGAAATGTCTCATTCTTTGTCCGAGACGTCGATGTTGGCCTCGAACCTCATGTCTCACAGCCGGGTACCCTTCCCTCTCTTGGTATTTCTCCGAAGCAAACGTGATTATCCATTCTTGTCTGACTACGGATCTGTGGCCAGCGTATCGGCTTTTGAGTCGTGCCAATTGTCTGGTATCCACGAAAGCTGTCAGATATGCGTTTACTCGTCGGGGTCGAAAATGATCTTTGCTGTCGATATTGATGTGCTAGTACAGAGAGTTTGCCGCCGTCAGCCCGGCTAGTATCAGCTCACAGGTTATCCTGAATGTGAGTGTCATCTCAAGCGAAAGCCTCTCACCGTCCAGACACTAATGGGCCTAGAATCAAATAGATTAGGTCGCCGTTAGAACCTTTTACTCGTAGAGGAATTTATTTGTGAAGCACTTTAACACTATTACACCACTTGGTGTGAACTATCTCCCATTACCACATTACATATATCCAACGTCGTATCGTGCAAACCAAAGGAAATACCAGACGAACCCATTGTTTCCACACTCCTACTAACAGCTCAGAACCTTAGGGCCGGGAATCTTGTATGGTCTGCCATTGTTGTCGATGATGCCCTCGTCGTTGTACACGTCGAGGAAGATTCCTGGATCGTTGGACTTGTACGTGCCTGGGAACTTGGCGAAGTCTGTGCCGGTACTAGTTCCGGACCCTGTCACTTGGATTCTAGGTCGCCGTTAGAATGTTTCTGCGTGCTTGTGTGCAGTTTCGAAGACACTTACTGTGCGCATTCCATGTAAAACTGGGCTCCGTTCTTCAACTGGCTCTCCTGGAGCGCCAGGAGCTCGACTCGCATGAGGTATTCGCCGGACGCAACACAAGCAGGCATCGTGAAGTTGTGCCAGCCATCATCCGCTCTCATGTCGTCAACCGCCCAACGGCCGTTCTGAAGTCCCTTCTCAGAGATCTTGAACCAGCTCAGCCCTTCCGGACTAGCGTTGGCGGCGTCGTCTACCTTGGCCAGGTACACCATGATCGGACCTTTCCGCAGGGCACATTAGCGCCGGACTAGACAGCGGGCTGTCAAAGCGGACTTACCTTTGTGATCCTCCGCAATCGGTTGGTCTTGGTCCCCGGGTTCCATGGCGCCTCCAATAACGTGGCCGAAAAGTGCGCCGACCTTGGCGCCGGCAGGAACCGTAATGACGGTCTTGTCCAGGTAGCTGAGATCCTTGTTGCAGGCGAAGTCTTTGTCGTTAACATTGGTGATGGGACCCGAATCCTCGGGAGCACGAATGCCCTTGAGCTGACCTTGGTCAACTCCGTTGACAGCCATTCGCTGGAAGATGGCGTGCGCATTAGCGCCAGCGGCGAGAGTGATGAAAGCTGGGAAGAACTTCATGGTTGCGAGATGCGTGTAGATAGACGATGCGAGAGAAGGTGATGAATTATCCTGCTAACTGGATATTTCTTGTCTCTTATGTCCTTTCAACGTCGAGCAGTTGGATCCCTTCAGTCAACGGACATTCCGGACCCGTTGAGGGAAACAAGGAGGACTGCGATGTTTCAACGCCTGCAGATAAGGGGCCGGGGCGAGATCAGCTTCAAAGAAGCTCACAACAAGTCAACTAATAGTCTGATGTCGTTGATGGGTATACCGATGGGATGGAGACTGATCTTTGAAAGTTTCTTGGCCAGTACCATTATTCCCCTCAGAATCTGCCCGTGGCTGTTGACATAGACGCTGTCGTTGCCCCCTTCGGTTATGCTCCTGCAGCCCCTGCATGGTTCAGATCGGCCATGCTTTGGCGTAGTACTGCTTAACAGCCACTTGGACATCGGAGAGAAAAGAAGCATAAGTAGGCCCTGCATATTTGCCACTTGAAAACCCCGGACTGTAACCGCGAACGGATGACTCTGGTGCAGAGAAGGAGATATACTCATGTTGGCAGACGTGGTTTTCCGATGGACCACGTTGGACCCCTTGCACCGGCCGTGCCTTGTATTACTGGTCCGATAACCTCGTCCTTAAAATCAACATCAGTCAATGGCGGCAGAGCCCGGTTGCATTTGGGACGACCCAAGGTGTCGGACTGGACGTCCGGAGGCATGTCTCGTCTACTAATCAAGCTATTGCAGTGATTTTTTCAAAGCGGAGCCGAGGGGCTAGATGATGTCGCTCTTCTTAGCTCCCGTCACCGGCGATCTCGTCGTTAATAATGCCGCTATTATCGTTGTTGCTGCCACTGCTGTTGTCGTCACTGTTGCTGTCGTTGTTGCTGTGCGTCCCTGTTGTTTTTCAGTATCCCTATACCACATACTAAGGAGTGACTTTCTAGGTCAATACACATCAGTTTCATCTAAGTGTTACTTCTCTAACGACTCCAGCAGCGCCTCAACGCGCGCGCTCTCTCAGGAGGATTGAGCCGTACAAAAAGGTCCACCAAAAAAACATACAACACCAGGTATTCGCTGGTCGTCACCGACCCAACTACTAATCCGGCCCTCATTGGCTTATCTATGGGAGAGCGGACGGGATCCCGAGTTTTCCAATGGGTATGGTCGTATGTGGCATTCTGAGCGTCTAGAGTTGCTTATATCGCGAAGTGTGTAAGGGTTCACGCGTCATGCGCTACTTGTCTCCCCCCCCCCACCCGCTGACGGGAGCACTCTTGTCATCAGTTAGGCTTAACTGAGAAATATGAACCTCTGAACGGCCTGTAATATTATCTAAGGGGGCCCCAAGTCTCTTCATGGTGACATGGTCTTTCTTCTTGAATTCACATACTGATTGGAGTAGATGGTGGCGAGAAGTGCAGAGTCTACCAGATTAAAGCACATAAACGAACTCGAATGCCTTATTTTAGAAACAATATGAGAGGTATGACGCTAGTAGTGCTAATGGAAGTCTTTAAATTCTATAAGAAGGAAAACATATAGAAACCCTAGGGACGAATTAGCAATTATGGACTCTTGAACTATCATCCTCCTTACTTGTGACACCTGATTACAGCTTAGGGCGATAGATGTGAGGACCCTAGCGAAAACTACTCTGTTAGCTGTGGACAATGCATTTTTCGTCTTATCTGAGTCGTACGATTTTTGATAAAGCTAATTGACGCATTCCACGTACTGCGACACTATCTACTGCATTGGTCCCCTACGGTCTTTAAAACCAGCCGGCCCCTTAACTTTGGTTGCTGACCGATGACGTGGACGGTGGGTAGCTTATGTAGGGAACACGGGCTTTCCTTGGTGGAGGAGATTGAGAAGCATTATAAAAGCCGTTATGTGAATGAGTCTGAACGGAAATCTCGGATCCATCATGACTCCATCGATCTTGTGATCGATATTCTCCTGGAAGATGTCGGCGAAATTCATCGCTTCCCTTGGCGATACCACAATCGATCATCTTCGTCGTCTTTTCGAGAGGCACTGCCAGACTTGCAGACCTTCTCCGGGGACGATATCTTCTTCTTCGGGGACGTATCTTACGGCGGTCGCCTTTATATCCCCTTCTGTCTTCAGCACACTGCCAGACTTGACCAGGTCTCGAATCAAGTTTCGTTCGAGAAGTTGTGTCCTCGGACTTGCCTTTCGATGTAAGTTCAGATTGCTTGCGGCCCTTGTGAACCCTGTCGATGCGACTGTTAGGTTGAGCTGTGCGGCTGTTTGTCCAGTCATCTTCGAGACTTTCGCTAGGAGTTGCGATACTTGAGCATTAGCAGTTGGTTCAGGAGTCATGAATGATCGGAATGCCCACCTTGACGGGGCTATGACAGTGTGCAAGAGTTTGTGTCAGGTTGACAATTGGACGCCTTAACGGACTTCTTCAATATTATTGCGTTCATGGGGGAATCTCATTACGTGAATTACGTGATGGTCTGAGAGCACAGGTTGAAAGTTTGCAATAATCAATAATATCGTTTGGATTTAAATATAGTGTTTGGGCTTGAACTTGGGTTACTCTGCATCATTTCGAGTGTTGCCTTCGAGTCTCGAACTTGAATATGCTATCTGCCAGGCACACACCATCCCGACAGTTCTACTGGGAGTTCAAAACTACTTTTAGATATCTCGCATCCGAAGAGCTGCTACAGCTCACTAGGGTCCATATGTGAACCGTCCTTTTCCTCATCTCCATCCTCTTCACATTCCCCCTCTAAGTTGGCTAGTAAGTACAAGGAATCTTCAGTAAGAGGCCAGCAAATGGAGTCCCAGTTCGTTCCATGGTTCAAAGTAAACATTGCGCTTCCTTCGCCGACTCACTCAAAGATTTTCTTTCCCTTTCTGTGCGCAGACAGATCCCATCAGACGACTCCTGCATGCCGAGACTCGTACCGGGGCCACATGGTGGGTAGCGGCGCCAACGCCCATGACCCTGGTTGCTTGTTGTGGCGGGTAGCCATCCGTTGTTTGAGATCCACGATTGTTTCTTTTTCTTGACGTTGGTTCTCGAGGCTTTGATTCGGCCGGGCGCAGAGTTGTGGAGAGTCTGTCAGGGATAATTCTCAAGGGAGCAAAATGCCCACAGATATTGCGAGGGTCGTAAGCAGACCAGGATATTGGGGAGAGGAGGGGGCCGCTTGCACGTCAAATTGGTGCTTTCTTTTTTGAAGTTCGGTTCTCGTGGCTGACACCGTATCCTGTCATTTTTCACATTGAAATACCATCTGGGCCTGGCTGACATTTTGTTTTTCGGCAAAAAGTGTTTGCTTATTGCTGATTGATCCCATCTATTTGTTGTGATTTTGCCCCAGCCGGGGATACTGACACGAGAGTGCAGCGCAATGTCATGAAATAGCCACTCATATTCTCCGATTCTTTTCAGTTTCACGGACCAAGACAGGAGGCAGTTTCCAGAGCACCACCGGCGTTTGCATTGTCAATTTTCTGTCAGCGGGCTGCCTTCCCCGGCGGGCATGCACGATGATGGATACTCCCAGAGTGGAGTGACACATTCTAGCCTTTAAAGCTCGATGCCCAACATTCCACGCGCAAGTAAACGAAAACTTCCCCTCGGACGAGAGACTTGAGGTGGCTTATTGCGTCACACATTTCCCTGGTCTCATTTCTGTGTTTTGCCGTCGGTCTTCGAAGGCTTGGCTCGCCGGCAACTGCTGGTAACGACGAGCAAATGGCTTCTTTCGACTCTGAGTACATGGCCGATCCGCCGGCAGGCCAAGGCCGGTTTGACGCCGGCACGATTACGACGGGCGCGTTGATCCTGGGTGCCATCCTGACAGCCATTTCAATCCTCTTCGTCAGCCTACGAGTGTTTACGAGGCTATCACTTGTCAAGAGATCACTTGGCCCCGATGATTGTGAGGCCTGAGTCCCCGACCCCGACGGCTACGACGATCTCATCCTGATAACTCTGGTTCTTAGGGTTTATTGGTCTTTCACTTGCTCTGGCAATTACCTTCTATGGACTCTCCATCCAGCGTGAGCACGCCAGCTTCCGCGCTTTCATCGACATCTATCCTGACTTGCAGAGTTTGTCAACTTGGGGTTGGAGTCCATCTTTGGCAGGTCAAACGGGTCGACTACTCGCCTTCCTTCCTACTTGTATGATGCCATTACCCGCCAAAGATGTTTGCATGCTCGACAACAGCTAACCTTAAATGTGCAGGTCAGCTTGGTGGCGATAGTCGTCTACTCTCTCAGTGTCACGACCGCAAAAATGTCTCTCCTCGTCCTCTACCTACGCCTCTCGCCCGATCGTATTTTCAGAATAGTGGTCATGAGCTTCATCGCATTTACCACTGCTTACGCGATCGCGTATCTGTTCTTAATCATCTTTAGCTGCCGGCCGGTCCAGGCGTCATGGGACCTCACGGTCAGACCGGGCTCGACATGCATCAACAAGAACACAATCTACCTTGTCCTTAGCGCAACCAACATCGTCATGGATATCGTCTGCCTTATCCTCCCACTGAAGATCATCATTCCTCTGCAGATGGGAAAGCGTCAAAAGTGGTCACTGATCGCACTTTTCGCTACAGGCGGCTTGTAAGTCAACCCTACCCGACTGGGCCGTGTGATCAGTCGTACTAACATTTTCTCAGTGTGTGCATCTGCGCAATCCGACGAACGGTTCTTCTTCCACCTTTGTTTAGAAGCCACGACCACACATTCGACATCGAGAAACAGCTCAACTGGGCCTGCGTCGAAGTCAACGCCGGAATCATCTGCGCATCTGTCCCGGCACTGAAGCCTTTCTTCATGCGCTACCTACCGATGTTTGTACATTCCCACATCACAGGCACCAGCAAGAAGTCGAATCAGAACTACCAAAACTACCAAACGTCGATGCCGTATTCCACGACCGTGGAGAACAACAAGAAGCGCCGGAACGTCCAGTCAGAAGCGTACGAGTTGCATTCACACGACGACCTATCTCTGTCATCATCGAACGAAGTGCAGAAGAACACATCCCACGAAGACGTTGCGAAGCTTTGGTCGGGAAACGCCTTCCGGACGGATCGAACGAGTCATCGGCGCACGATCATCGAGTCAAAGCCGACAAATACGGACAACAACAGTGTTGATAGCTTGGGAGGGATACACCCGGTGGCCGAGAACAGCACAAACTCTCGATCACAATTAGATCTCCCGCAGAGAGCGGCTAGCGTACATGGTCTTGGGGGGATCACGGTTACAACGGAGACCAGAGTTGTTTATGAGCAATCATGACCCAAAGTCATGCATGAAAGAGCCCGCAAAGGAATATTGTGGGCAGTTGTATATCATCTAATTGAGCGCTGCTTATTAATCCTTCAAGTCCAGAACATCTCTCAAGTCCTTGATCTCCGTATCAGGCCTGGTCGCGACAGGCTTCGATTTTCTGTTGCCATACTTCCACTGGGGTTTCAGTCCCCTCGGTAGCCCCTCCAAGGCATCAGCAATGTAGTCTCCAATAATCGGAAACATCTTGAAGGCATGGCCTGAGTCGCCGGTTCCCAACAGCAGGGAGGGGTATTTTGGATGGTTATCGATCAACCAGTGAGCGTCGGGGGAGTCGGTGCACCAGCAAACCCTCGCACCGAGGAGCGGTCGCCCTGAGAACTGAGGCATGACCACGTCGACGAACTTGTTGATCGCCTTGGCCGCCTCCTCCGGGATGCCATCGTCTGGGTGTGCACTTGCGTAACGTGGGATAGAGTAGTGCTCTACTTTGCCCTCCGGATCGGTGTAAGTGCCGAGCCGGTACTGGTAACCCGGGTTATTGTCGCAAATCTTCATCCACCCTATCGCTTCATTAGCATGACAAACGCTTGTACATCTGGATGGTACTTACTTGTCTCCGGGTCCGGCTCGAACGTAAAGCCCAGTTCAAAGTTATCAACGACTGGAATCCCCTTCCACTGAGCGACCTCCTCAGCAGTAAGCTCGACATGAGCCAAAGTCCAGCACTTTGTCCACATTTCTCGCGACAGTTCTGGCAACAATTCCGGCGATGCTGCACCGGTGCACAAGATGTATCGATCCGCACGAACGACGTCCCCTGAGGCGACTTTGATGCCGTCCAACCCTCCCGAGTCGTCAACTTCCAAGCCCGTCATAGTGCCTTCGGGACCAGAGACAAACTTGACGCCGAGCTCTTGGGCTTCTTTGCCCCATTTCTCGATGGACTTGCGCGAGTGCGCCCAGCCGCCCTGGCTGTTCCAAAGGCCTTTCCACTTTTCGATGCCGTTTGCTTTGGCGAGTTGTGGAACATGCTTGATGATCTGGTCCTTATTCTCGATGAACTCAAGACTGCCCGATTGGCCTGCTCTCTTCAAGTTCTCATAAGACTCCTTCAGGTGTTTCTCAGCCTGCGGGCTTCCAGTTGTGGTTGTAAGCCGACCCTACGACGAAGATCGAGTCAGCTGATGGCGAGGAAACCGAACTCCTGACCTTCTCTTACCGTTTCATGAAAAATCCCTTCCCACTCCGGTCTTCTCCAGGCTTTGAGAGCTTCAAGAGCCAACTCGGTGTAGAGGGGCTCGTCATACTCAGTTCTAATAATCTTGTTCAAGTCATACGCTGCTGAGTCCAGACTCGGTACGGGGTGGCGATCGATGCATCGGATGTTCGTGTAGCCACGCTTTGCTAGATGGTATGCGGTGCTGATTCCAAACGTGCCGCTGCCAAGTGATTAGTGAAGAACGATTCAAGAGAGTCGACACAGACTTACGCGCCAATGATGACGATGCTTGACGTTTTCGCCAAGGACTCGCTGTTACCAGTCATGGTTCTTGATAAGGATTACAATTATGCTCGACAGATGCAAAGTAAAAGATTGTATCACACCGCTTAGATTGACGCTGCTGCAAGTCACATACATCAACCAGGCTCTTCAGAAGTTGGGTTCTTAAAGTCGGATCAACTTACCGAAACCCCAACACAGCTGAGGATCAACTAAGTCAAAGCACCACCATCTGATTGGCTCGTCATATTTCCCCTCACACACAATCAGCTGAAAAGCACACAATTGGAGCGACCACGCGTATGAACACATGATTTCCGGGGTCAATGCCGGCTTGGACCTTCCCCTCTCACTACCTCTCTTCTCCTCCTCACCGGCTTCGGAGATAACCTCTTGGGAACCCTGGTCTACTGCGTGCAAACAAGCTTCAGAACCCCGCATTACTCGCGTATTTCTCTGTAATTGGGCCCTGAACAACGCTGCCCAGTCGCTAAAAACACTGGGCAGATAGCTTGGACCTTCCCCGGCGCCGTCACCCTGGTGGTTCCAGCGCGTGTATCATGGGGAAACAATCACGGAAAGCCTATCTTGACTGCGGGGTTTGGGGGTCAACATTCGCGGGTATGGCGCGGTGCTGAACAGATTGATATGGAGGTTGGATATCTGGGGAAGGTCGTTGACGACAAGTATTGCGACCTGTTCGGACGGACGCATCTTAGCCGTGGCTGATAGCACTGAATACTACAGACTCATCGCATAAAGCCCCCGGTCTGTCACCTCCAAAGAGAGAGGAATCAAGCCAGGTTGCCAGGAAACTAGAAACTAGCGACAGTTCTGACTCCAGTCACTCTTTATACACAATGTCTGCCGCCGCGCAAGACAAGACCGGCGAGAAGCTGGCAGAGGCACGCCCCGTGTCCTCGCTCCAGCAGGCGCAGACAACACAGGATGTCGACATCGAGGATCCGGACAAGTCCATGACCTACGCCATCGGCGAGATCAAGGAGCACTTCGACATCGACTCGGACAACTCGCCGTTCCCCGAGGTCCGCGCCAACGTGCCCAACACGGACGACGTCTCGATGCCGGTCAACACCCTCCGCATGTGGGTTCTCGGCGTCCTCTTCACCATGGTCGGCTCCGGCATCAACCAGTTCTTCTCCATGCGCTACCCGGGCGTGACCATCTCGTCGCTGGTCGCTCAGCTCATCGCCTACCCCGTCGGTTGCGCCGTGGCTCGCATCCTGCCGGTGAAGAAGGTCCATGTCTTTGGCCGGGAGGTTGTCATCAACCCGGACCACTACTTCAACATCAAAGAGCACGCCGTGATCACCATCATGTCTAACTTGTCGTTCGGCCCGTCCTGGGCGACCGACATTATCCAGGCGCAGAAGGCTTCGGCCTTTTATGGTCTCGACACCCCAGTGCCGTATCAGTTCCTGCTCGGCCTTTCGATGCAGCTGTTTGGGCTCGGCATGGCCGGGTTGGCGTATCGCTTCATCGTCGAGCCTCCTCATATGATCTGGCCATCAACTCTAGCCAACGCCGCACTGTTCCAGACTTTGCACGGACGAGCGAATCCCGTCGCCGATGGATGGAGAATCTCGAGGTATCGGCTCTTCTTATATGTCTTCATCGGTGGTTTCTTCTGGTACTGGCTTCCCGGCTACCTCTTCACCGGCCTGAGCACGTTTGCCTTCATCTGCTGGGCCGCTCCAAGTAAGTGGAAAGATTCACAACCCCGAAAACACACCTACTAACTCATCTCAGACAACGTCGTGGTCAACAACCTCTTCGGAATGTCCACCGGTCTGGCCTACCTACCAACCACTTTCGACTGGTCTCAAATCGCCTACAACGGCTCGCCCCTAGTCGTCCCATTCTGGGCGCAAGCCAACGTATTCGCCGGCTGGGTCATCCTCTTCGCTCTGGTCACCCCGATCCTGTACTACACTAACACGTGGTACACCGCGTATCTCCCGTTCTCGGGTGCCGACACCTACGACAACACGGGCAAGATCTACAACGCCACTCGAGTGGTCGACAAGGACGGCAACTTCATCGTCGAGGAGTACGAAAAGTACAGCCCCCTCTTCATGCCGGTCACCTTCGCCCTCAGCTACGGGATCTCCTTCGCCGTGATGAGCTGCGTCCCGACGTACATCTTCATCAACCACTACAAGGAGATCATCGGCGCGTTCAACCCGGGTCGGAAGAAGGACATCCACGCCCGCCTGATCGAGAAGTATCCCGATACGCCGTGGTGGTGGTACGCGATCCTGACCGTCATCGTCTTGGTCCTGTCGATCGTCGTTCAGGTGGTCTACAAGACGCAGATGCCGGTCTGGGGCATTTTCGTCGCCTTCGGTCTGGCCATGATCTACCTCATCCCCACCGGCAGCGTCTATGCGGTTGCCAACCTGAACAGCAACGTGCTGACGGTCTTGGGCGAGATCGTTTCCGGCTACCTCATCCCGGGCAAGCCTATCGTCATGCTGATTTTCAAGTTCTACGCGTACACGGGACTGAGCCAGGCCATGATCTTCTCATCGGATATGAAGCTTGGATTGTACATGAAGATTCCTCGACGAACGCTCTTCATTGCCCAGTTGACGGCTTGCATCACAGGCTCGCTCACTCAGAACGCCGTTCTTCTCTGGATGCTCAACAACGTTAAAGGGATCTGCTCGGAGTCTCAGCCAAACGGATATACCTGCCCACAAGGACGCGTCAACTTCTCTTCGAGTATCGTGTGGGGTGCGATTGGCCCTGCTCGACTTTACAGCGTCGGAAAGATCTACTCGGGGCTGCTACATTTCTTCTGGATTGGTGCCCTCCTGCCCATTGTCACTTTCTTTCTCAAGAAGCGGTTTCCGAACAACAAATTCCTCCAATATCTTCACTGGCCTCTGTTCTTTGCCGGCACAGGAAACGTACCTCCGGCGACAGGCATCAACTATACATCTGCCTTTGCGGTTTCATTCATATTCAACAAGTGGCTGAAGGGCAAGTATCCGCAGTGGTGGGCGAAGGTACGTCAAGATTGTAGCCGTTATATCAAAATCACACTGACTTGGCAACCGCAGTACAACTACGTTCTCTCAGCGGCTCTCGATTCCGGCCTGGCCATTTCCGCCATCGTGATCTTCTTCGCCCTCGTCTTTCCGGGAGTCGGTCTCAGCTGGTGGGGGAACAACGTAAACAAATTCACAGTCGACGGCCAGGGGACTCCATGGAGAGCCATTCCTTCGAACGGCACTTTTGGGCCGGCCAGATGATTATGACGAGTCGCACTTTTTATTTATGCCATTCTCAGTTCTTCTGTACTTCATGGGGCCTAAATCCAACCTGTGCCCCTTTTCCGGATATACCCTCTCCCAGATACATAATGATTCCCTGTAATTGACTAATTCCACAAACTCCCGCTCCCAGCCGAACGAGATAGCGATAAAAGTCAATCTCCTATCGGATTTCCTCCCAAACGCCCAAAGCCAGTATCCAACCCACGTAAACGGTATATTACGTGGACAATTGAGTATCTAAGCGAGACTGATGTTATGGCAGTGAGGCGCCACGAACCGGGCCCAGTCGTTGAATGCCTTTGGACTCGGCGAGAGCTGTCGATCCAAGGACAGAAACGAAGCGGCCTCTCGCTGTTTCCAGACTTTTTCAATCACTGACCGCGTTCTGGTCACGTTTGACAAACTATCAGAAAGCCTGTCCAGCGCATACAAAACGAAAGGCCGCGCGTGATGAGGCATGTCCACCTCGCCCGGATCCTCGGTCATCCACTCAAGCTCTTCTGTGGGATCGAGCTGGCATGCGGCCATGAAGAGCGGCCAGGTAAGACCGGCTTTCACGTCCGCCTTCAGAAGCGTCGCAACCATGCGCAGGATCTTCTTCACGCTCTGCCGAATGACAGGTGAGGCGGGGTTCGTGTCGTTGAGAGCCGAATGAAGGTACATCTCCACCGTCGACCGCTTCATCTCGACGGACGTCCTGATGATTTCGTCTTCGCCGTCGGATTTCAGCTTCGGCTGCTGAAGCAGCGTGATCAGCCTCACCCGCTGCCTCTCCAGGTCCTGCCAGCAGTCCTCGGCCGTGGACGCCGAGAGCCGGTGATATTTGAAGCTCAGCTCGGTGATCTGCCCGATGATGCTGACGAGGTACGGCGAGCAGCCCATCCAGAGGTCGAGCTCGTCTTCCTGCGCGGACCAGAAGTCGTTGCCGAAGATGGGCTCCTCGCCGCAGGCCGTCCGTCCCATGACGTCGTAAAAGGCGAAATAGCGTTCGGTGAACTTAATGATTTGCTCCCACGGACTCTGCTCCCGGGCTGCCACCTTGCCGACGTCGGACGACATGCCTTGGCGTCTGAACCGGATGAGATCGCGGGCACCGCGCAGATGCGTGACCCAGCGCTTGTCGCACTCGGCGATGATTTCCAACTGACACAGCAACATCATCAGAACGAGGATTTCCGAGTTTGCAGCAATGTCAATTGAGGATTTGCTCTCTAGAGTCAGGCGAAGTGATCGGATGACTTTGGCGGAGTAGCTGAGAGCGACTGGCTGATAGGAGCTGTCTGACCTCGCTCTGTGTGAAGCTGCTAGACCCAACAAAGCGTGCATGAGAGAAGGGGAAGCGGACGAGACGGCAAAGGGGAAAATCAGTGCCGAAAACGGGGACTCTCCGTCGGCGCATGGTACCGTCATTGGACATATTCGATTCAAGTAGTAGGACAGTAATTGCGATTCAGCTCTGTTGTCGAGTTTGATGTAAGTCACCGGCTGAGTGAGATTGTTGATGTTCCGCCTCAATGTCAGCGCAGTCGTTTTTCGGTCGTCGGCAGAACTGTCCTCACTAGACGACGAGGAAGACTCTTCGCCGTCAAAGTCGGTGATGAAGGTGTTGAGAAACCCGAAAGAATAAACCCGAGTCGGTAGGCTCCAGTAGGAGGGATCCGGCACCGACGGCGGCGTTGCGGATTTCTTCTTGGGGCCGCCGGCTCCAGACTTGGACCACACGCCGGCTCTCCCAAAGGCGCGGCCGACGTAGTCCGTCTCCCACTTGAGGATCTGCGTGTAGACGCAGTCGGCATAGCCGCGGGATGTACACGGCCCACAGTGAGGTTTGGTCTCGTCGCAGCGGATCTTGTGCAGGCGGCAGCGTTGGCAGCCGCGATGGCTCCGCCGGGCGACCTGCTTCGACGGATCTCTCCTGCGCGGCATTTCCGGGGCGAGACTGGAGGCGACTGGGGGAAGAATCGACGAACCATACAACAGACACGCGAATGTGTAAATGGACCTGGAGGAAAAGGGTTTGGAACTTGACGCTAATGGGTGGGTTTGAATAGTGGAATAGACGACGGGGTATCACATGGACACATGGACTCAGGAGAGACTTCCCGGGGGAGGGCCGGGGGAGGTGAGGGGCCCAGAATCTGGAGCAGCTCGGCTGACTAAACTCGACTAAGAGCATGACTCCGGATACCACCATCGCCAAAAGGATTACCGCCGACAGAGTTTACCAGGATTGGTATTTGCGACTGGAAGGTTCTGGCGAGGGGAAGCACCCGAAAGGCAACTCTATTAATTTAGTAACCTTCTGTTGCTAATATCCGTTTGACTACTCACCTCAAACAAAGGTTAAGGATTAAGTTACCATAGTTCGGCCATCCTCTTCTAGATCTTCCAGGAAAGCGTCGGTGCAAGTGTCTGTTTATTGGGTTGGGGATGTAGATAGAAAAATGAAATTGGAAATGAACGGCAGGTCGTCTCCTACAGTCAGTTGTATGCGTCTTGCTGACCATAGTGTGGGTGCCTCTTTAGACGCCACTCAATAATTGTAGCTAAATGGCAACGCGGAGCGAAGTCGTACTACTACCGTTCGTTTGCCCGTCAGCCGTCCTCTTAACCTCTCCCATTGTGCTGCAAGCGTGCTATCTTGCCTGACCTACTCCATAGGCAGTATACTGCAATAAATCCTGTCCTTAGCTCATGCTGCGTATGTTTACATTTCCCCACTTGCTGGATGGGGAAGAAGACATGAATCTGCATAAGAAGACTTGGGACTATGATGTTGTTCTAACAAAGATCCTTCTGCTGTCACCACCACTCCAGGCGACTGGGACCTCATAAAGGCATTTCTGGCGGAAATAGAACCTGGTTCAAGAGGGAGACTGGGTGCATATGCACCACTCTAGTTTGGCCTTAGTTATGAGAAGTTTATTTGTAGCAGGAGACTAATTGATCTCAGGATCCTAAGTAAGAATAGTCGTTGGGATATATATAGATATATCCCCTTCGCTGTTCCATCCTACTAAGTCTCAGTAACTAATCCCCTCACAATCTTTCTTGCGCAAGCAGCCGCAGCCATAGAAGAATAACCCTTCCACTTGCTCCGATCCTTCTTCGAATCTTCATCGCAATAGTTCGATACGCCAAGCACAGACACCGCGTCGACATTCAGCCACTGCCCTCTCAGTTGGAGACCTGCCGTTTGACCGTGGTCGAAACAGACAACACTCGCAGATTGAAACGTCTCCGGATCGGCAATGGAGTCCCTTGAAATCGCGTTTTCCGGATATGTATTGTTTGATATGACCAGCCCATCGCGGTAAGCCACAGAGTCGGGTTCATCCCGGGGGCCAATGATTTCGTCCAACTTGTCTATGTCCTCTCCGATAGGACGCTTGCATTGTTTGGCCCATTTCTTGTTGTTCAAAATAAGCTCTTTGATGTCCTCCTTCAGCGACCACTGCCGACCAGTGATCATGTCGGCGGTGGCGGGGAGACCAGAGGCTTGTGAAAGGCCCATCTCAACCAGATCACCGTTGCAGTCCCACTTGGCGAGTTTCTGTGCAATAACCACATCGCCGACGCGGACGACCTCGCCAACAGCACGCGGCACAGCACCGGCTTTGCTGTTGACCAGCACCAGCAACTTGATGGAAGGAAAGCTGAACATCATGTCTGCTACGCTACTTTCGCAGCTGACTTCGTCCCATGGGGAACAAATGGCCACTTTGTGTGAGCCAATCTTGCCGAATGTGTAACAGTTGCTGTCATGCTCCTGCTGCGGGAGGGGGGTGTGCTCCTCATCCAGCGAGACTTCGCAGCTGACCCTCGCCGCGACATCCGCACATATGTATCCGACGGTTACGCCCAGTTCCGACATTGTGCGCGGAATATATTGATAACTGGTGTTGGGGTTAAAGAGCAAGCAGGTATGTTATGGGCAATGAGGGAGTAGAGGATGAATGTTGTGGGATGGGATCTCGTGACGGAGCGAGGAAACTGTAGCAGATATACTGGGAGTAAAGTTTCCCGCTGAGCCTCACGCCCACAGCCAGCCTGACCCATGGCTTCGCTAACCAAACGTGTCTAAGAGGCTGTGAGAGTTTACCTATCTTTTTTTGTGTGGTTTACATGCCTTTTGTTGTAGTGGTTTACCAACCATTTGCTGTGGAGTACCCCCTAGTTTACCTACCTTTTGTTGCAAAGCGGTTTACCAACCTTTTGTTAAGTGGTTTACCAATCTTTTATCAAGTCGTTTACCTACCTTTTGTTGTTTGGCCCCATAAAGGTTCTGTTCAAGTACCTCGGAGGCGTTGCAGCGGCCGCATATACAGGCCATGGCCGAAGCACATAGATATATGTCGGCAGCCTGCAGAGTGTTTTGCAGCTCCTGACAGTATTATCTGCGTCAAGTTGCCGCTCAAATCCAGCACCCACCAATTGCGAAATCAAAGCATACAATGTCTCACATCTTTTACCGTAACGAGGCATCTCATCAGAATGGCAGTACCACGACAGACGGTACTAGCACCACCTACGGAATAGACACCCCAAGCCCCACCGATGACAGTATGTTGCCCGGCCCTGTGGAGACATCGTCGGCACCAGAGCCCACGGTCTTACTGTACGAAATTCAACAGGCTGCCGAAGACATATCGCAGCTCGTCGGGCGATTCGGATACAAGATGGCACAAACGCTGAAGATTCCTTCCATCAAAAAGGAGTTTTTCGCGAACCGGGCATTGCTCTGGCTACCGTGCCTACAGTACGCCGACAACTTTTCCTGTGTAGTCACAAAACTCCACGCCAAGTCGACCAACTACACGACCTCGGCACCGCTGCTATGGTGGCTCTGGGACGAATTACTCGACCACCTGCTACCGGCAGTCTCTTCGCGGGGCTGCAGGCTCGAATTCAGGGTCGCCCGCGAGACCACAATCGTCCTGCCCTACACGGTCACCATCAACCTCTCATCCAAAAACGGCAGTGATAACATCGAGTTCACCGCATCATACGGCGGGCCATTCCACGAGCGGCGCATTTTCGATGCTCCTATCACCCAATTTCGCTTTCCCGAGTCGACAAGGTACGGCAAGTCGACCACGGCTACCCTGGACATCGACCAACACCCGTACGAAGCAGACCTTGCTCACATTTTGAACTACCTCGTGCCCCGTCAAGGTAGCATATGGCGGTGCGCCATGAAGGCCTTCCCTTCAGAGCAAGAGGAGAAACTGGTCATCGCTCTCGCCGGAACTTGCAAGGCCAAAGACGACCGCTTCTTCATGTCGAAGGACCAAGAAAACCAGTGCCAGAACCTGCTCCAGCGCTTCCCGGCCGATGCCAAGGAGTACATAGCCGACGAAAGGCTTGTAGGAAAGGAGCAGGGACCGTACAGCAAGACTGCATTTCAGCCCCCAGGTCCGAAGGATTAAGATGTGGATGAGTGTTCATCTACCAGTATTTCGTCTGTCTCATCAGTCTCACCTTACATCCAAGCTCTGTTTTCCCGTACCCAGGCATGATATAGGTAGATAGGAAAACCAACGACATCTCCAATTATGGTTCTCTCGGTGACATCTTTCAGTGAGCACTACGAGTGATTAAGTGCATCTCATAAAGGGAGACGGCGTGGGCAAGTGATTGCACAGGCTGAGAGCTGGTCAGGACGGTGCCCTCGCATGAGCTCTGTACGGGTTGCTTAGCTCACATGAACTGACGGTAAATGGAGGTTTTTCCTACCGTGTGGTCCTCACCACCCACTACACCACGAGGCAGACTTGATGGCTGCTTGTCTCAGCGATGCAGCATGTGTCGAGTTCGCTGCGCTGCTGTCCGGCTGGGACACGCTCCACAGATCGCTACAACGACGAGCAGCCGATAACGTGCCGGGGAACGTCCGTTTACTTCAACGAGAGAGCGAGGGCAGGGATGCCCTTACTCAAGAGACGAGCCTGACGAATTCAGTCATGTTAGCAGAGTGCGGCCGACTTCATTTGACACGATCACTGGCTGTTACTGGTCTGGGGTCCCATAGGCTCGGAGTTTCACTTAACGAAAACGGCATTGATCCCTAACGTCGTCCGATAACAGCGGGAGCAAGCGACGCGTCAATGCTGGCTGAGAGGAGACGACGCAAAGCCTAAAGGGTTCCAAGTCCACGATTGGGCATCAAACATGGGACACGCCGAAGTCCGGGCTTTTCAATCAGTTGCAAACCAATTCCGGAGTTTTGCTGCTGGTCTTGTCACTCATCCTCAGCCAGAAGATCTCGGACCACGGACTTGTAATTCACCAGTCATGCCCTCACGACTCAAAACCCCACCAGCCCCATATGTATGGCATTTTGTCATTATCTTGCAACCCTCTAGCAGGTCGGTTAGCTCAGTTGGTTAGAGCGTGGTACTAATATGTTATTCGACATGTTCAGTAATGCCAAGGCCGGGAGTTCAAGCCTCCCACTGATCACATTGTTTTGTCAGTTGAGTCTATCATTGACGAAGGTCATTTTTTGAGTTGCGGGCACAGCCTTTGGGGGTGTCTTTTTTTTTCGCCCATTATGAACGTCAAAGACAGGACGAATCTAGCGAGTGACAGCGGTACAGGGGTCCAGGGCTGTGCGTGCGGTTAGAAGGACTGCTAGGACGTCGATCTCTCTATAAAGTAGTCTGTTCATGAACATGATACATAATGTTGACCTATACGTCCTTTTAAAACAGCATTAACTCGTCCTTATCTTTTCTAGTAGTTGATTAAGTAAGCTAAGCGCCACTACGTTAATCCATCCGCCTTTTCCTCTTCAAGGCTTTATTTACCGATTTAATCACCTGGTGCCTAACCGAGCTCTGTCAACAATGTTTATTCAAGTTCTTACTGGTTGGAAGATGACCTGGATATGCCGTTGGAACAACGGCGTCCGGCACATCCAATCACAGCACCCTGTGTTGGTGTGTTTAGCAGTGAACATCGAGAGATACGGATAAGGAGGTTAGATTCGAAGTCTGCCCGTCACCCCGGGATGTCATATTCCGCGCAGTCCTAATGATGTCATTCTCTTTATGATTTCCAAGCTGTCGGTACTGGTGAACCTTATCTTTCTCGAACAAATACTCAGGACGGCATGGCCGATTCCCAAAACGCAGGGCCCTTGGCGGCTGTGAGTGCAATCAGTCATCCCACGAGCATTGCGCTGGTCAAGCGGACTGTGGACATGACAAACCGCGAGCATCAGACGGAGAATGACGATGGCTATGATTCTGATTTCATGGGTATCGACGTAAATGAATACGTAACCATAACCTTCCGACTTGTGTATCGTTGACATTCTTCGTTAAAGAACAGCTCCATCTACTCCACGTTCTCTCTGAGATCCAGCATCCGTCAGCATCGCAACGAAAACCGTCGCAGTTACCAAACCATGAGTGACGGGAGTACGTGCTTCGTCTCCAAGGAGCAAATAGTATACGGGCTGACCGGCTACAACCACAGCTTACATCCTCCCAAGCGATGAGGCATACACAGGGCACTATGCATTGGACCCATGTAGCTGACCCAATAATTTGCAGCAAGAACAACAACACTTGAACGTCTTAGTGGGCTTCCCATTAAACATTACCTCTGGGAAGTGACATGGGATAACAAGCTTTGCACGTGTCTGAAGAACGAAAGTGCCAAATGAGTCTTGGACGTTGAAACCGGCACAAGCATCTGGGCAACTGACTTTAGTGTGCCGTTTTCCTTTATTCGCAGGGGTCAAGCCAAGAATCAAAGCTGACCTGGAACAGCAGGCGAACATCCTGAAGCCACAGTCTGGACTTGCCGCACGGCCTATGATTACGACCGTTGCTGACTTCTCACGCAGGTAGTTGGCGTGGATCTGAGTCCCATCCAACCTGACGGGTAAGATATGGTCTCCGATTTTCCTAAATCAACCATTTTTTGGCCTAATTACTACTAGTATTCCCCCATCTTGCATCTTTGAGATCGATAACGTAGATAAAGATTGGACTTGGCCAATTCCCTTTGGATTTATCTTTGTTAGACATATGAAGGCATATTTTTCTAGCTGGGTTAAGATGGTTGTCTAAGACTGTGAGTGAGTAAAGTCTTCCCGACCTTGATTCTCTCAACGAGGCAAGACTGATCCTTCTTTCACCCGTAGAAACCTCAAGTCGGGTGGGTACATAAAGCTTCAGGACAACGCCTTCCCACTCGACTGTCAAAACGGCACCTTGAAACTAGATTCTGCCCTGGCCAGGTGGTCATCCGTTATTATGGAAGGAATAGCTGCGATGGGAAGGTCTATCGCCACACTAGCGAACTTTAAGAAGTAGCTTTAAGACGCAGGCTTCGAGAAAGTCACGGAGGAAAGGCGGTCTTGGCCCATCAATACCTGGCCTGCGAACCCCAAAATACAAAAGATAGGTCACTGGACTTACTGCGATAGCCTGAAAGGAGTAGAGGCGTTCACTCTCGCCTTATGCACCCGCGTGCTTGGCTAGACCCAGGAAGAGACCTTGAACTTCTGCGGCGAAGTCAAGAATGAGAACCTCATCTGCTCGTTTATTAACTTGGTCTAATCTAGGTACTGCGCCTATGAAAGGAAACCCACAAACCATGTTTAATGAGACTCGGAAATGATATCGGAATACCCATGTTCTGCTTCAAAAAGAACACTTCGCTCTTAGATCAACTTGAATACACTATGGTGTTGAGTCCGAGGACGAAGATCGGGTGAGGCGTTGAAGTTCTTCATACGCAACGGCGGAAAAGCTTTGTGGAAGTCTCAGATACCATCACAAACAAAGTAAGAGTATAATTGTTAATCAAATTGAGAGCTCCTCCAAGAATAATGTTGTTGAAGCTGCCGTTGGTGAAGAAGTAGCGGTTGACGGGTGCACGCTGTAATGTAACTGCATAATATGTACCAATACCACAGTTCATACCTCTTAATCGCATAAGATGGGGTCGCTCCATATCGACAAGCCAACGCGACCTATGTCATCGCTTTCGCATTTCGCATCAGCATACGTCCAACAGGATCAAGCTCAATCCATTGACAGACACACAAAGGAACCCAGCACAGCCATGATACCAAAATGACGGCCCCGCGCCCATGGACACCTCCCCTCCTCCTCCGGATCCGCTTCACAACCTCCCTCCCCGACCTCGACCTCGACATCCCCTCCCCCTCCCAAACCACCGTAGCCGCCCTGAAGCACCTCATCCGCTCCCGCCTCTCGCAGCCAGACTCCCAGCGCCGCCTGCGCTTCATCCACCAAGGCAAAATCCTCCCCGACGCATCCGCCCTCAGCTCCGTCCTCCGGCCTCTACCCCCGCCGCCATCCTCGACCTCCACCCCGACGACCCCCTCCTTCCCCGCAGGAACAGGAGCAGGAACAGAAGCAGACGACCCTAAGGGCAAGGGAAAAGCAAAGGCCCACGATGCCGCGCCCCCGAGGGTCTACGTCAATTGCAGCATAGGCGACAGCCTAACCGACGCCGAGCTCGCCGCCGAGGCGGAAGCAGCCCTCCGCGCGCCGTCCGCGCAAACGACCTCCTCCTCATCGCCAAACCACCCCCCGAACGGCGACGGACAGCATGGCGCGGCACAGAACGGCCAGCAGCGGCCGACGCCGCGCGGCTTCGACCGTCTGCTCAACGCCGGCTTCTCCGCGGCCGAGGTGAACCAGCTCCGCCTGCAGTTCCGCGAGATCCGCGCCGCGCAGTACACGCCCGACACGATGCCCAGCCCGGACACGATGCGCTCGCTCGAGGACGCGTGGATCGACACCAACGCCGGCGGCGCGCTGCCCGGGGCCGCGGGGGCCGGCGGGGGCGAGGGCGGACAGGGAGGAGGTGGCGGGGGCGGGGATGATGTGTTCGGCGCCATGGGCGGCGCGCTCGACATGTTGTTTGAGGGGTTGGCTATGGGCTTCTTCTGGCCGTTGGGGTGCGTCGGCTGGGTCTCGCGAGAGGAGGAAATGCTGTCAGGGCGGTTACGTGACTATATCCAGCTCGGGGTCATCCTGAGCGTCATCATTGGAGTTATAAGGATGTTCTCCGGTCACTGATTAAGAGGAGGCATTCGCTGCATGGCATGGTATGGCGTTTGGGGAATGGCTTTTCATGATACCAGGACGTTGCAGCACAGGAATTAGGTGCACGATCACATAAATAGACGAAGGCACAAGAAAAGGGCCATTATCTGCTTCATTGGTGGCCATGGAGAAAGGACGCTTGCGAGCCACTTACAACTCCTAATCCGCGCACACAAAGATTCTACATGGTATAAACCCCAAAAACCCTATCAACGCCTTTTTGAAATCCCCAGGGCTACATGAACAAGCGACGAAACGAAGGGGGACTGGCCGTACACTAGCCAGAAAACGGAATCCGACAAACCTTTTTTTAGAGGTACAGACTCTGGGCAGCGACGATGTCGCGGCGGATCTTGGCCAGACTGTCCTCGAACTTTTGCGTAAGCTCATCACTGCCCATGACCTTGGCACTCTGGCCCATCTGGCGAATGAGTTCTTCCAGGCGGCGGAAGAGACGGATCAGAGAGCCTTCGTAGGCGTTGGTCATTTTGCTGCGACATTTGTTAGCACGAAATTCGTAGAGTGTGACGGGTTATCTTACCAAATCTCTGCAAACGGCTTGCCCTGGGCCCATGAGTAGACGGTCTCCATCAACTGCCACTTGAAACCAGCCAGGTACTCCTCCTCGTTGAGATCGAGCTTACTCTCTCGGCTGACCATAGCAACCTGCTTCGCCTTAGCTTGAACCTCGCGGAAGGGCTTGGCCAGCTCTTCGCGGAGAGCGGCGGTCTCCAGCTTCTCGTCGAGGACGAAGCAGCTGAGGACGGATGCGATCATCTCTGGAGACAGCTCGTTGAAGAAGCGGTCGAACAGGAGTTCAGCAAGGACAAGCTCGTGACCTTCGGTCGAGGAAATCTCGCAGGCAACACGGGCCTTGAGCTCGACGACCTCGTTCTCGTTGAGGAAGCCAAGACGGCGCAACACACGCTTCCGAGCCTTGAGCTCGTCCATTTGCGCAATGCTGTGCAGTCTAGCGATCTCCTTCTTTTTGGCCTTGATCTGCTCTCCCAGCTTCTCCTTGGCGCGGTATTGCAAGTACAGCTCGGGGAGGAGAGGCGATCCGTGCAGCGGGTTGGTGAGCAGACGAGCCTCCAACATCTCGATCTTGCGCATGAGGGATCTGAAAGACTCGTCCTTGATGTCCATGTTCTCGATGGGGTCGAGAATGGGCACTCCGTCAGGGAATCGCCTGTGAACCTCTCTTAGGGATCGACCGACTTCCTCCCGTGCGGCTTGCGACTTGCTATCCTTGGGCATGAAGACTCTGATTTGGCTGATGGCCTTGACGCAGGTCAGGAGGCAGGGGACGATTTCGAAGCGTGCGTCGTTACCAGGCTCCTCTGGTCGATCGTAAGGGACCTGTCCCAAGGGCATATCCGTTGTTGGACGACCGCCATCGACTCGTGCGCTCTTCTCGTCGACAACCAACATGACGTCGATGAAGTAGGATTCTTGAGGGGGATAGTCGGGCTCCCCGTTCCCAGGCGAACGTCTCTTCACAATATCTTGAACGACACCCCAGCCGAAGTCCGCACCGCCAAGAGTGTTATTAGTCTTCTTCGGATCGTGGATTCTGACCAGACGACCAGGTTGCATGAAATCTATGCAGTGGTCCGGATGCTGAATGACAGATCGCATATCGCTGGTGTACTGCTCCAGCTGGTTCCGCAGGTTGTAGTAGTCCTTGACGGTAGCCTCGTCCGCGATGGACATGCTGTCCCTCTCTTGCTGGAGCGCCATCAGGTCGCGCTCCAGAGTCGGGACGCTGGCACCAGTCTGGAACTGGTGGAAGCAGCGCTCGAGCATGAATTCGGGCGAGATGGCCTCAATTCTGAGGAGGTTGAGAATCATGTTGTAACCGAGGTAGAAAGCAGAGTTAAGACGGTCCTGCTCACCAACCACAATGGCGCGAGCAGTGTCGGGCTCCATCTTGTCGTCAATCATCATGATGACAATACCACGGGAATCCAAACCTCTACGACCGGCACGACCAGACATCTGGATGTACTCGGAGGGAGTCAAAGGTCTGCGCTGGACACCGTCCCACTTGGTGACTTGAGTGAAGACGACGGTCTTGGCAGGCATGTTCAGACCGATAGAGAAGGTCTCAGTTGCGACCAGAACCTTGATCAAGGACTCTTGGAACAGAATCTCAATCGTCTCCTTCAGAATGGGAAGAAGGCCAGAGTGATGCACACCGATACCCTTCTGCAGAAGAGGGAGTAGGTTCTGGATCTGGGGGAGCTCGCGGTCGGTTTCAGACAAGCTCTGGATAGCGTTGTTGAAGACTGTCTTCACCATGGCCTGCTCGGAGTCGTTGTTGAATTGGAAGTGGGAGATGTTCAGAGCCAGGTTCTCGACCTCCTTCTTGCTGAAATTGAAGATGATGACGGGGTGGAAGCTCTTCTGCATGATCATTCTGACAATCTTAGAGATGTCTGACTTCATGTCCGCGGCCTGGCCACCCTTGGACGTGTTCTTCTTGGCGCCCTTGCCCTTCCAGTTGGCATTGGCGTTAGCAGGATCCTGTCCCTTGCCCTGCTCAATGAGGGCCATGGTCTTCTGGAAGTTCCCTTCCCTGAAGACACCCTTCTCGTCAACCACAAGGAAAATGCCGTTGCCGCCAGCAGGGAAGAAGTAGTTCTGGAGAGGAGTAGGTCGGAAATCGGTGTAGACAACGTGACACGCCTGGTGGTGGATCTTGGCAATCCATTCGGCGAACTGGAAAGCGTTCGGGATGGTGGCGGACAGAAACACATAGCGAACCTTATCGGGAAGCAGGATGATCGTCTCCTCCCAGACAACACCTCGAGTCTTATCTCTCATGTAGTGAATCTCGTCGAAAACAACCCATGCGACTTCACGCATGATCTCAGAACCGCGGTACAACATGGATCGCAGAATCTCCGTGGTCATGACCAAGCAACTGGCGGTAGGGTTGATTGTGACATCACCGGTCATAAGGCCGACATCGCCAAAAAGGGCTTCGAAGTCTCGGTACTTTTGGTTGCTAAGGGCCTTGATAGGACTTGTGTAGATGACGCGCTGGTTGCGCTTCAAGCATTGGGCGATCGCGTATTCGGCAACAACAGTCTTTCCGGCAGACGTGTGGGCAGAGACCAACACACTCTCCTCTCTCTCGATCGAGGCGACCGACAAGCTCTGGAAGGGATCGAGCTTGAAGTTGTACTTGCGCGCAGGCTCGGCGGGGGGCTTGTGCTCAGAGAGCGGGACATATTCGTAGTCCAGGTCGGGAGGCAGCGCGACTTGGTGCTGGATGTTGTGAGAAAGAACGAGCGATTCGTCCTCGGCCTTGGCGAAGGTGGCAGCGCCGGCAACCTCTCTGGACTCGGCGGTCTGGAAGGTATCGGTCAAGACGGGCTGGGCTTCGTCCTCCTTCTTTCTGCGCTTGTGACTCTCGTGCTGGTCGTCGGAAGTGCCGGCAGCGTCCTCGTTGTCCGAGGTCTCGTCGGCGTCGGGCATCTCAGCATCCTCCTCCTGCTTGGAGGTGACGCCATTCTTGATTTCGTCGGCCTTGCGCTTCTTGCTCTTCTTGTCCTTCTTACGCGACTTCTGCGGTTGAGGCTGAGACGGCTCGGGCTCGCTGGGCGACTCGGGTGCCGCGTCAGGCTGAGCATCGAAGACGTCGAAAAGCTCGTCCATGGTGGGCAAGTTGGGGCCGACCCTGGGGGAACAAATTCGGCGCGCGACACTGATTTGTTAACGTAGCGATGGGGGAGTAAGAGATTGATATGGAATGTCAGAATAAAAAATAATGAAGACGTCCGTTGCGACCTCCAAGAAGACAACCGCGTTGGCGATCCGTCTCGCGGGCTGTGGTGGTGAGAGAAGCGATGAAGCTCTCAACTTTGCCTTGGTCCCGGCAGGATGCAGCGGTCGCGATTGAGGTGCAGGCAGGCAGTTTGGAAAAAAGTTGGCGGGCCGAACCAGGAAAAGGCAGAAAAAAAACTGCTGGTCCAAGCTCGGAAGGCGGTCACGCTCGTACCAGTTGCAAATCCTGAGTGCAAGACTGGACGGCAATGCGATTGGACGTCACGTGTGCTTACATAATTAGCAGCCTTGGAGGATCGATCTTGAGCTTAGCCGGAATCACACCTCAGACCACCCTTCTGAATGACTTCAACACCATAACCACACCTCGGCTTCCCCTCCATTGCGCGTCGCGATCGCCTCAGAAACCACCGTCAAAGTAGCCACCGCCTCCCTCGAGCTCGTAACCGTTCAATTGATGCTGATTGAGTCTCCGCAGATGCTTGCCCGTGCCGCCGCCCGCGCGGTCCCCCAGACTCGCACCGTCGTCGCTCGCCGCGGCTTCCAGACCACCCGCGCCCAGATGAGCTCGCCCTACCACTACCCCGAGGGCCCCTACAGCAACATTCCCTTCAACCCCAAGTCCAAGTTCTTCGGCGTCGGTTTCTGGACCTACTCCTTCGTCGGCTTCTTCGCCCCCTTCGGCATTGCTGGTGCGTGCTTTTTCCCCGTTCCCCCGGTATCCGCCGACCGGTCTTCCGAATCGCTAGCTAACGAGCTCTCCAGCCTGGCAAACCTACAAGCCCAAGGTTTAAGCGGCCGCAAGCGCTTTTTCCTTGAGTCGATCGCAAGTGTACACCATGGATTGAGTTGGGACGGAGGGCGACTTTGTACATGAGCAGAAATAGAGCATTTCGCCCTCAGCGATTCTTTTCCACCGGATTTTCGATGGCCGACTTCACCTCGCTTCCGACTTGATTTATCATGTGTAGTCAGGTTCTGCGTGACGTTAAAGGCGACCACGATAATCGCATCCACCACTCGCCAATCCCTGACGGTTTATTTCCAATGTGGTATATGTTACAATTCTTGGTATCATGTCTATAAGTGATTGATTTTACAGAGGCCGTCTCTTCCCAGCCTTGGGTTTCGCATGAAACCCCGGGAAAACTGTCGAGTCCCTTCCAGCCAACAGATTGTTGACATATGCGTTCATGAACTCGGCCCTTTCCTCTCCGATATCCCATCTCTCCTTTAACTGGTCGTAGACGCTCAGTACGTTGTTGGGAGTTGTGCACTTTCTAAAAGCCCGAAGCGCCCAGATGACGAGCCAAGTGTCGAGATATAAGTCGTCTGACACATCGTTGGAGGGACGCCGACGCGGCCCCGTGTCTAGAGATTCGATCAATGCCCCGTACACCTTTTGCAGCCGTGCAGGGCTCCAGTCAGACCTGAACTCGCCGCCGTGTGAGCTGAAACCTTTAAACAGCATGAGGAAGACGCTGCCGTGAATCGGGACCTGGAAGTGCCTCATCTCATCGAGATACTGCACCACCCTCTCGAAGTTGCCGGTCTTGACGCAGAAGTACTCCAGCAGGGTCCGGTACGTTCGAAGGTCGGGTTTGATGGTGGCTAGTTCTTGATACTTGGGACGCAGCTCCGGGTACTTTTTTGCGACCCTGGTAAGCATCTCGAGCACAGTGGTAGCCAGCTTCTTGTGGTTGTAATTGCGTTCGGGCAGGTCCTCGCCCCCTTTTGCAACGTTGGTTTTCATGTACCTGTAAACCCTCACTGCGGCTAATTCCTCGCCGCATCTGAGAAAGCTCGAGATCACGCAGTTCAGCACAGCTGTGTCGACGAGCTGGCCATCCTGAACCATCTCCTTGTACGCCGCCCGCACACCGTCGGCGTCCCTTTTGAGGCCGAAGAAGTGTATCAGACTGACGTGATGGTACCGGCCGAAGAAGATACCCCGAGATTCCATCTCCTTGTAGATCATCTCGGCCAATTCGAAGTTTCCGGATTTGGAAGCAGCGTCGAAGAGGATATTAAAGGTGACCTCATTGCCCTTTGCCCCGGTCGCCTCCATCTCCTTCCACAAGTGCAAAGCTGCCTCGGTCTCCGTCTCTGTAGTTCTTCCAACATATCGACTTGAAAGCGACAGAGCGTGATTCCATTCGCTCCTTCGCAGTGCAAGGCCGCAGTCCTTGACCTCCCCGATCAGCGAGAAATATCGCAGCATGGTCCGCGAGTCCCTTTTCCTCGGCACACCGAAGGCGGCGAGCAACTTATGGCGCAGCACCGCGGGCATCTGGATCATGCGTGGTTCTGGCAATGTCGTGTACACCTCGTACAGAGCTTCCAGACTCATTCTCCAGGGATATCGTTGTCTTATGTATACCGCATAGGCCAACTTTTTCACCAATTCCTCGAGAGAATGGCTTCCATGGACTGCGTCCTGGAATGACGGGTACTGGTCTTCCACCTTCCTTTCAGACACAAATAATCTGGTCGGCTCCGGCTGGGCGTACCTGTTGAGGTACGGGTCTCGTAGCAACTCGAGGTGTTCCTCTACCGTGCCCACGTCCTTATGCGGATGGATGTACTGCAGAAGATTTCTTTTCGCTTTTCCCGATAGTACGACCTTATCGTTTGCGGTGTCGGTACCATTGGCCGCTGCGGTTGCCGCGCCGTTCGCATGGCTGTATTGCTGGACTCGTTGGCGGCCGCGGAGGGCTTCGTATGTAGGCCGTCGGCGTTTCGAGGGCGCCGGCAGGAAGGTAGACAGTAGCCATGAGGCAGTCTGCGGGCAATGGGGGCCCTGTGCTCGAGCATCTGCGGTGTGCTTTCGACGGCATTGAGGCGCCGGCGCCCTCGTGGGCCTGTCGTCTCGGAGCTTGGGGCGGGAAGAAACTGCAGCTCGAGCGGCCGAGGGTCGAGTCGAGAGAATCGCGCCGCATACGGACCCGTCAATCCGGCTGAGAGCTTTCATGGGCTGTCGTGCATTGCGGCCCAAGGCGTCACCGTCCCATCCAAGAGCGCGCGCCGGCTGCCAATGCGAGAGGGATTGGATTGGAAAAGGAACGGCCAAGTCGGAGAGCTCGAGCTACTTTTGCCCAAAAAAGCTCCAGGATACGTGGGAATATTTCGCGGGTGAAATGCATGGGTAAAGTGGGGCCGCACCGGGAATACCGGGCGCGGCGTTAGGATTGGCCGACGATCCAAAATTTGGATTCTGAGCTGCCGTCAGGTTCGCGAATGACAGTCTTGGAGCTTCGCAGCATCGAATCTCGGTATCCCGACAGCAAGGGTCGCAACACCGACGAACGGTACGTTTCAATTGGGTTTGCCAACGCCTGATTCCTTTGCTGACGCTCCCAGCAGATCACCATGGGCCGACAAATACGGCCCGCGAGGGTCTTCCAAGCCGTCGGCCAGGAGCTGAACTCCAGGATCCTCCCCGCCTACCATCCCCAGGAACCGCCATGGTACCAGGTCATGCGCGACATCCCACCCGCCGAGATTCTCACGAGACCGGTCGCCGCCTACAACAGCCCGGTGGGCACCAAGCAGCGCAAGCCGCGCAACATCTACAAGCCCCCGAGGATAGTCCACGAGGAGGACACGCTGCGGACCAACTTCTACAGAGACCACCCGTGGGAGCTGGCTCGGCCGAGGGTCATTCTGGAGACGGACGGAAAGGATTTCCAAAGATGCGATTGGAGCCGAGGCATTCGCCAGCCCGGCATCCAGCTGACCGGTGAAAAGTAAGCTGACCTAGGATGTGTATGTCAACACAAAGCTAACGCTCGCCAGTGTCGTCCAACGCCAGCTGTGGCTCATGCACAACACCGAGTTGAATCGAGATCAGGCATACGACAAGGCAAGAAAGGAGTTCTACGCCCTGCGTCAGGAGGAGGAGATCGAGAAGCGCGTCACGAGGGAGGAGGCGAAATGGGTCGGTGCCTACTTCGGCAAGAACAAGCTGCAGATCGGACAGGTGTTGGAGGACAGGGAGTTCGAGACCTGGAAGGGATGGGCCAAGCAGCGCGCGATGCTTCTCGAGGCTGCCCAGAACGCAAACTACGCGAACTTTGGCGAGGAGTCGACAACCGAAGCGGAGGGCGCGGAGGAGGAAGAAGTTGCCACGCCCTGAGGGTCGGCGTGGCGGTAGTTGTAAGCATATGTACTACCAAAATCTGTATAATACGATCTGCCTGATGATACCTGGTGATCAATGAACCCTGGAGGAAGCTGTGTGCCCGAGATGCCTTCGTGCACCGGCTGCCGCATAGCTCTCGGATGAACCAGCCAAGAAATGGCATAATTATGAAGGCTTCTGCTCAAATCTGCGGCACTGGGGACGAAATACTCCAACGACAGTTTTCGGTTTCTCATGTCTGTGTTACGGACTAAGCACATGCTGTGTCCAAATTGCACCCCAGCGACTTTTGCCCGTCATCTTCCTCCTTTGACAACCATGCAACCCGCATTTGTGACGCCATAAGCCTTTGCCACCTGCTCGTGCTGTACAAGAAGCATATCCGCAATACCAGTGAGATGGAACAGCTTGCCTGTCAAACTCAAGGTACGGATCCGGGCCCACGACTCAATGTAGAGAACTTGCGCGGCATCCTCAGGGATGACGCGGAATATCTTGAGAAAATACGCCACCAGCCCAACGATGAAGCCCGTGGCCGGTCCGTTCGTGAGGATGATGTCGGGGTATTGCTGTCTCTTCCTGATGCCAGTGAAGGGCGAAGACAGCAGCAGCGGGAAGATCTGGACGACCGAGAGGATGGCGGTGAAGGGGGTCGTGAGGAGGCTCTGATGAATCTTGCGAGCTCGGGCGACGATGTGTACGTCGTATGTTCCGGCTTGCTTCTCGCCGTACGTGGTCTTGAGATCCTGCTCGAACGCCTCCAGGTGCTTGATGGACATGGTGTCGCCGCTCGAGATGAGGTAGCGTCGATGCATGTCGGGAGCTTTGGGAAAGCCGATCTCCATCATGGCGAGCATCTCTTTGGTGTGTCCTCCCGAACCCAGCACCACCAGGAAGTAAGTTCCTCTCAGCGAGCTGGAACTGGCATCTTTGGTGACTGCGGAAGGTACGACTGGCTTTCTGAGACGACCTCGTTGGATCTGGAGATGACGGATCTGGGCATGATTAGTTAAAATTTTGACATCATGGAATTTTCTGGATAGCTTGCCGTTGCAAAGATAATGAGTGTCACAGCACTCAGCAAGAGGGTTGCAAGTGAGGCCTTCCACGAGGATCGAACGATGCTGCCGAATCCCAGGGTACAAAGTACGGCAACAATACCAAGGAGGGTAGAAGCAGCCGGCTTGCCGTTGCTTGACATTGTGAAAGAGGATAAAGAAGTTACAGCGTCTTTATCATGTCTTGTTGTCACTCTTTGTGTTTGTGGTTGAGGAGGGTAGAGGTGGTGAGTCTGAAATCTTATTAGCAACGTGTTGTGAATGAAAGTGAAGTTATCGTCTCAGCAGGGTAGGTAGCTATTCACCTTAGGTTCTAGGTTCCTTCCTTCTTTAAATTGTCAATTGACAAGAGAACTCATGGTTCAAGCTGAGTACCTTAAGTCAAAGAAGGTAAAAAGAAGTCCTAAGATGATACCCTCTCCTCTCTTTGAAATTGAGTATGTATTCTCACCTCACCCTTAGGTAGCTAGATGTGATGTGATAGTCTGAACGTGTCAATGAGGAAGCGGCAATAGCTGTTAGTGAAGCTCTAGAAGCCGCTAAACATGTTGCTGAACAGCAGTGGGTGAGACCCTGGAACTACTAGAACGTGACTACAGCAGCAACTTCTTAGCGTCCTCTGTTAGTGCAAGATGCCATGAGGTTCCCGGCAGAAAAAAAGCGGATGACCTCATGTTCCTGCTGGTCCTCGGGCATCCCTGCTGCTTCCCCTGCATTCCTCAAGAACCATCAATAGACCGCCCGGCAGAACCCAGAAAGTTCCCAGCGAACAACAAGATAGAACAAAAGAGGTCGTCCCGCCAGCCTGCATAAATGCCTTGTCTGGGCCGAGGAGCCTACACCCTCAAAGCGCAATGCCACAACTAAGAGGGCGCGGCAGGCTGCTGTCCTGTTTCTACTGCGGGAAGCGCTCTTCGACACGCTACGATGGCCTCATCCGCGAATTCCTGTGCCTCCACTGCGATGCGACAAACTACTTGGACGAAGTGAGTCGGGCCGGCGCATCAGCGCATCGCGCAAGGAGCTTCTTCTAACGAGACTACAGCGCGGCGAAATCACCGATCCTCCAGTCGCGAAGACGACGACCGCGCCTGCGCCGACGACCTACGCGATCCCTCGCTCGCAGTCACCCGACTTTTTCAGCCCATCACAGAGCATCTTCTGCGCCACGTGTTTGAAGAACCAGCACCTATTTACGAGCTCCCTGGCACAGTACCTGCCCGACGACCCGGACCACCCCGAATATGCAGAGCTCGAGAGAAACATGTACAAGTTCCGCAGGGGACTCGAACAACGATACCCTCAAATATGCGCCGAGTGCGAACCAAAGGTCCACGCGAGACTGGACCAGGCGGGATACACGGCGCGGACAGATCACTTGCGGCGAATGATGGACAGGAGCAGGAACGATCGCGGGGTGCCGAAGAAGCTGACACCATTGGACATGTCAGCAAAGCTGGGCCAGTGGCTTTGGCTGGGAGGAATCGTGTGTCAATACATGTGGCATCTGGCATCTCTGGCAGCTGTCTTCGCAGGTCAGGATGAGGGCCCCTTACGAGACCCTGACGCGGAGACAACTTGGTTAGAGAGGCTGTCTCTGGCACTGACGTTGGTTCTGCCCCGGCCAGAACGCCTAATCAACTGGAGCTTATGGGCGAATGGGCTCAGTTTGTGGTGGAATCCCAAATTTGCCCAGGTATTCCGCGGTTTCTCTAGGCATATTCTGGGACTAGGCCAATGGTACACTTTCCAGGGCTTGATTGTCTTCACGAGATTCCTGGCGATGAAAATGGCAGAGATGAAGGGCGGTCGATCTGCAGAGGAGAGCACCCAGATGAGCCTTCATGGCTTGCTGGCCCTGCTCATGATGGCGGTAAGCAGACGACGATCGATGGTCTCAGGGAATATCACTGACGCGAATGCAGATATATATCCTTGCCCAACGATCAGTCCGTATCGATACGACTCCCCTCTTCCAAACAACAGGGACACCGGCCTCGTCGCCCCCTCGACCGCAACCACAATCACAACGGAAGGAACGACAAGAGAACGACACGAAGAACATGTCCAATCTACTGGATGATATCCTGGCAGAATCTTCTCCGGGAGCACGCATCCCTCCCAGCCCGACCAGTGTCGGATCAAGCTCTCCAGCGATGTTTCAACGCGACCTACAACACAGAGCCAGCACTCGCAGCTTCGGTTTCGGCACCCCTGAGCCGCAAATACAGCAGCCGCAGATACAATACTCGGAAGAAATGGACTGGTCTCCGACACAATCTAGGCATCGGGCCTTTAACGACCTCGGGCCCCCGAAGGCTCCGAACCAGGTATTCGGGCAGCCCGACCCGGGGCCGAACTCCAGCCCGTTCTGGTACAAAGTACCCCCCGCACCGATCACACCGGCGCAGAGGCTTCGCAACGGCCCAAAGCCGCTGCTGACGAAACCGGCCGAGAAGAAGTCCATCTTCGCGACCAGCAGCATGAACGCGTCCAAGTCGTCGGCAGACGCCGGCAGGGAAGGGCTGAGAGACGTCGCGTTCGCGCAGCCCACCTTCTTCGCGCCGTCGTCGAGCAACCCCAGCGACCCCCGCAACTCGCTCGCCGACATGCTCAACTCGAGCTTCACCCTTAGTCAGGACGAGGACGAGGAGGGGCGGCCGGGCAGCAGTAGCGCCGGAAATAGGACAGCGAATGCCGAAACAACGACGAACACCGCCGGTGGCCCCCTGGCGAGAACGGCCGGGCTGCGCAACAACAGGTTACTCGACGTCTTCACCCTAGCCATCCTCCTCGCCGCGTGGCTCCACGCGACGTCCGCGTCGTACCCGTACACCCGGGACGTGACGCTCGGCGCCATGGTCCTCAGCATGGCCATCGCCGTCCACCTCACCGGGGACGCGATCAGGGACTTGCGCCGCGAGGCGACGCCCAGCTGGGCCTCCATCATCAACACGTCCCTCGGCATCGGCGAGCTGGCCGTCGCGTGTCATTTCGCGCTCCAGATCTGGGACGATCGGCTGTCGGGCCCGAACTCGGGGCTGCAGGGCGCCTCGGTCATTGGGACAATGCTGTTGCACGAGATGTGGAACGCTGCCTGCTGAATTGGCATTTTCTTTTGTTTTTGGCGATGGGAGAAAGGCAAGGCATATAGATGAGTAACATGAAGCATAACACGTTCAGCATTGTTTTGGGGCGTTTTTTGTCTTGTCTTGTCAGACTAGGTAGAGGGGATACATCCGCGTGGGAGGCATTGTCCGGGCGACGACGAGTCACACACACATTCGAAGTCGTCGTCCATGTTTTTCCTTGGTTAGGTGAACTTGTGGGACAAAAACATCGAGTAATCGAACGGGGATGCATTAGTAGTCGGGCGGCGGCCGGCCGGCTTGGATAGTAAAATCGACCGATCATGCACGCTACCGGCATCTACCACGCTCTCGTGTTGCGTTTGTGTCGCATTTCCAGTTGGTTCCCTTCTCCTCCAGTGAGATGGAATTGTCTTTGTCACCCCCTCACCTCACCTCTCAACTGTGTGTGGGTTTTTTTCCTCCCTTCGGTCGAGCCGGCACCGTTGGATTACGCAGCAAGCAGTAAGAAAAAAACAATTAGAAAGCGCGCGATCGAGTCAGGACCGAATGCGGCGGAGTTTAGGTGTGCTGTTCGCCGTCGGTTCGGTGGAGTTTGGAGCCAGCCCCGTCCGAGGTGACCGGCCGGCGCGAGCTAGGTAGAGCGATCTTTTTGTTGTTTGGGCAATGTATCGTGGTCGCGGTCGTTCATCACATGGTTCTGTGACTGTGGCGTGGGAAATCACGCTCTTCTAGGGCATGGTGTTGCGTCTCGCTCACGCCTCGTGCGGAACTACGCAAGGTACAGAGTACGAATACCTACAGACATCAACGTTCAGCTTGACAGTTCAAGGTTCGCTAGTTTTTTCCTTCGGCTTGCGGTGGGTTCTGTCTGGTCTCTTTTGGGACATTTGGGAAAGGCGCCGAGATTGCGCTGCAGGTGTGGCCACGAGAGTTTCACAAAAAAAAAAAAAAACCCCGAATTTGTTCGCGGCCAAAATAAACATGCTGTACAGTACCACGATGCATGTGCTGTGGGACGTTGACTGACAGCGACGGCGGACGGCCAGCCTGCCGGATTCACACGACAGTCAGCCCTGGTCCCTGACACTTCAGGGCCCCCCGATTGTTCGGTGCCGAAAAGGCGACGTTGCTGGGGGTTGCTTCGGTGAGTGATATCGGCCTAGCCCGTCATGTTCGGGGGTTCACGTCGATTACGGGAGGACAGGGCGGTTTATTCCCAGCTGACTGTGTCGTTTGAGTTGTATTTGTGACGATTTTGTTTACGACGTACGGGCTGGGCTTGCTCTGTCCGTCCGTTTTCAGGGTATCCATCGAAAGGGTGCCGGTAATCCGGATGGGTTGCGGGTAGGTACTTTGACCCGTTGGATTTGAGGTCAAACCCGTGCGAGAATGCCCCAAAATGTGAAGATCGGGTCATGATGCGTGTGACTGTGGTGATACTGTGATGAATACCGTGAGGGATGCTGCCTTGATTTGCGTTCAGCTTGGGGGTTGGCAGGACGGCCGGCGTCACTGGTGTTGGGTGACGGAGGCTGACGGAGGCGGCGGAGGGATGATGAGGTAACCTCTCTGAACTTCCACCCGAGGGGGCCAGAACAGGCAGCCCGGGTTTGGTCGTTGCAGAGGTACGCGTTCGAATCCGTTTTCTCGCCTGTACCGAGACATATGGCTTCGGGTCAAAGAGGACGGGTAATTGCTTGGCTGGTCTTCTTTTCTCGAGGACCCGGGAATCCTCTGGTGACACATGACGTAAGACGGCCACGCGCAATGCGGGATGAGGCCAACAACATATCTCGAGCTTGTCGACGTGGGTTCTAGAATGCAGCGTAAACGGTTGCGAATTGTCTGAGAGTGAGGGCCGAGGGTCTTTGAATGCCTTCAACTAATGCAACAGACCAGCCGTCCGGAAGAGATCGGGTTGACGGGGCACAAGGCAACGCAAGGCGGCTGGCATCCATTCCTGAGAGTGATGGCGGTTTCACGGACGGTACAGTCGAGATGACTCCTTTCTTGATCCCATCTGTACGTACCAGACATGCGTCTGGCGGCGATCAGAGACACCCGACAGGTACACAGAGAAGGGCCCTCTGGATCGGCGAGGCTGTCGATGTGGCTGTCTGCTGGTGGTGACACGACTGCAAAAGGAACAGCGGCCTTTGACCTCCGGCGCGAACGAGGATGTCCAATCACGCGGCTCTTCTCCTTTGGCTGTCTTGCCCATCATCGGATTCTGAGAGACCAGGAGCTCCAGACATGGATTTAGAGTGCTCTACGAATAGAAGTCGTTGGCGTTCAGGGAAGCAAGCTCACGCGGCGTTGCTGATCTGGTTTGGAGAATCCCTGCCACTCTTGGAGATGTGCTTGTTTACCACACGCAGTAGTGTGGCCGACGGTCTGTTAGAGAACACCCACTCAGGTCTCTTCGTATATACGAACACCGGTTGGAAGTAGAGAGTTGGTGAGCTGCGTACTATGGTACCTCGCGTGGTAGCTTAACTTCGGACGCGCATCGCTTGTTGGCCGGTTTGATACCCTGGGGAACCGCCACTCGCGGAGGACGGGATGGAAGGGTAGATGGGTGGCCGGATTGGCCATTGATGGGCAGAGTTCCAGAGTCCAGTCCGAAGGGGTCCAACCACCACCACCAAGAGTCGGGATCGGTACTCGCCGCGTTCCTCGAGGGTTGAGGTGCCACGGTGCGTGGCTGAGTGGTTGGAGGATGGCTGAAGTCGTCAGTCGGGTTGGGGTCCGTCTGCCGATCTGTGGCTGCGTCACTGTATTTTTTGATCGTCAATGAATGTCGCCGTCTGTCACTTGGGCGGACTCGAAAAACAAATCCACATTGACATCGTGGCAGACGTTGACGGGACATTTCTCGTTGTCTTCGGGGGAGTCGGCGGCTGTTGCGCGGCCAGCGGCCAGCGGTGTGGAAAGGGCCCCAAGGTTGATGCAAGTTGTTCTTGAACATCTCACAATGCATTCGAGGCCATGGATGTCGTCGATATTCTGCCGTGGAAAAGTGAAAATCGGTGCTAAGAATAAAAGAAGAAATGCCAAGAGCAGAGGCATAAATCGGTACGTACCGTACCCTCATTCTGGTTCTTTCCCAGACGACCACCTTCGCGAATTGGCTTGGCGTCAGTCGCAATGGCTCTGAAGGCTGAAGCTTACAAAAAGGAGGAGCGGTGTTTGTTTGTGGTTTAGTGGCTATATCCCTGGAGGTACGTACCTAATCCTCCCGGCGATGCCCCCACACATGCTCAGGTCGACCGTCGGTGATGACGGCTTTAGGAGCCAGAAGTATCCTTTTGGTGACTGTTGCCGCGGAAAGATACTTCCGGTCCACCAGCTGGTAGCCGCTTTGGGTTTGGACCGACAAGCTGTCCAGCAGCGGTCGTGCAGCGGTCCAGTCCAGCCCACAGGCCAGGCCGTGTCCAGTGGCCGCCAGTGGCCGCCGGGACCAGTCTCTCGTCAGTGACAGACTCAACACCGGGAAGGGCAGGCCGCAGGACAGGTTCTGGCAGCTGGCAGCCGGGTTCTCCAGCGCTTGAACGTCCCCGAATTTGTGATGCCACCACCCCACCCCTCGCGTCTTTCGTCTCCGGGGGCCCGTCTCTGTCGCCTGCTCTCCTGCCCTCTCCGCCGTCCCTCCCCTCCCCTCCAGTGTCCCCCCCTTCTTTCCCAGAAAATTGAGCCAATACTTGGGCCTTGAACCTGAGACATCCCCAAGGCAGATCTCTCTCCATTTCACCACAGCAGCTGCTGCTTGGCCAAGCAATCCACCTCACTTCACCTCACGTAGCAGGGTCTCGGTACTGCCACAGGGTGTTGCCAGACCTGACCAGGCCCAGGCCGGGTACGTTCCCTTTTTTTTTTCTTGCTCATTGTCTGCACGAGACTTGCATCACATCAGCATTCAAGGTGGTACCTCACGCAGGTACTCCGTACTTCCTGGACGAGGTACCCTTTTTGTCTGCGTCTGCCGCGAGAAATACTTTGCTGCTTCCTCTCCGCCCACGTCCCGCCTCATCCCATTACGATGCTCGTTTACTAACCCGCTCCTCCCGCGCTTTTCCCTCCAGGGTTCATTTTCGCTTTCTTCTCTTTTCCTCCTATTCTCTTCCAATACCGCGAACCTCAACCCATCTACCAAAACATCCCCTGGTCCACGACCAAATCCATCACCGAGGGGCCCCGCGAAAAGAGTACCACTCCTGCTGCCCTGCGACACCACCTCCAGACTCTCTCATACCCGCCCTCTCTCTCGACAAGATGGACCTTAATCTCCAACTTGCCGTCCGTCAGGTCTGTGCCTGTCCTCTGTAAGGACTCGGGACATACGAAAGAGGCTCTTCATTCAACACGCCTCTTGTCTGTCTTTCCTCGGGAAGAATTCGCCGACATAACCAATTACACGCCTACTCACATTTGCGACTCTACCAAACCCACGAAACCAACCGCTCACACGACCACTTACCCTTTCCTCAACCCCCGAACGCTCAATCAAACTCTACCCTGCCGTATATATCCCGATCGCCAGTACAAGTCACGCGAGCAAGTCTCTAGACTACCACTTCCACCGACACCCCCATCCTACAACCGACCACCAATTACCCATGGCTGGTGAAATGGTCTCGAAAAGGAGCACGAGAATGTTTCTTGAGGACGCCGGCTGTCACCCAGAAGAAGATCCCGCCTACCGACCCGCGCGAAGGAATTCCAAGCAAGACGACCTCATCCCACTGGAGCTTGCAGAGAAGTACCAAGCAAAGGGGCCCTCGAGGAAAGGATCGCGCGAATCCGTCACACCCGTCGATACTACGATGGACGTCTACGTGCAGAAGCAAGTTATGCTGTCAGTGGAGGAAGAATTGTTGAAGGTCGCGACCGCCGAGAAGGGCGTGGTGCGGCGCGACGACGGACTCATCAAGGTTGCCGAGCAGATCCAGGCGCCTCCGGCATCCCCCAAGTCTCCCGGCATTGAGCGAGTCCTGCCCATCGACGGTCGGCCCATCAACTTCGGAGTCGTCGTGCCTGGAGTATACCGCAGCAGCTACCCCAAGCCCGACGATTTTGGCTTCATTCGCAATCTCGGGCTGAAGTCGATTGTGTAAGTCATCCGGTCGCTCATCTGGTCCGAGAACCCTACTGACTATTTTCCAGCACCTTGGTTCAGAAGGATGATGTTGATGAGCCGTACACAAATTTCATGTCCAACAATGGCATTCGGCACCATGTGTTCAACATGAAGGGCACAAAGAAGGAGGCCATCCCCATCCGGACAATGAAGGCGATTCTGAGACTAGTGCTCAACCGCGAGAACCACCCACTCCTCATCCACTGCAATCACGGCAAGGTAATACATCCCTCTCACTTCGGCCTCAAAAACATTGCTAACTATCTTACAGCACCGTACTGGATGTGTGGTTGGCGTGGTCCGCAAGGTGACCGGCTGGGAGCTCAACAACATCGTGGACGAGTACCGGGCATACGCCGAGCCGAAGGTCAGGGACAATGATGTCAAGTACATCACTGACTTCGACCTATCGGACCTGTCGAATCTGTTCGTCCACGAGGCGAACATGAGGTTTCGCGTCCGTCATTTCGTCCGAGTGACCCTATTCAGCGTCTTTGTCGTCTTCGTCTGGCTGCTGTCTGGACATAGAATGTCCAATACGGCCAGGCGCGTCAAAGACGTGAGGTGACAGTTGCTGACTGTCACAACTTACGGGTCCTTGCATGATTCTTGGCATTGAGCGGATGTTTGCCGATGTCTGGCCCAGGTGGAGTCTGCACCTCAGCCAGTCATCTCACAGCGATACCCCTTTCTTACACTACAAAGACGAAGGATATTCGACAGAAAGAAAGAATAGGCGAGAGGAAGAAAGTAAAGAGGCAGTCCACTACACTGCCCAGACAGAGTCAATTGACTGAGAGCCTGAGCGTACGGAAAACAAAAAAGGAATATCAGGAAACAAAAAGTTTGGTACATTAGTATCTGCCCCGAGGTTCAGTTCCGACTGCCCGGGCATGGGAGGATGGCAACTGCATCTTTTTCCTTTGTTTGTGGATAGACAGAATACGGGGACTCATCAAGAGCTGAGATGTCTCCTTTTGGCGTTGCACTTGAGACTCAAGGGGGAGGTTCTCCAGAATTAGCATTCAGTCTGTACAGATTTTCCTTTCTGCTGCATTGTGCAACAGCAACAATTAGGGTCGGAAGCTGAATAGTAAGAGGAAAAGACTCTCCTCTGGGAATGACCTTGACTCCTGAGTGATTGGTGTTCTTTCTATTGTTTTACATGATTACGATGGTTGTATTACAAGTGCCTCCTGGAGGCTCTTACTCCATGCTATTTCCGTCTTCAGGCCTTAGCTCTGAGCTTGTCGGAGCAATGCCGTGTCGATCCCTCCCCAGACGCCCTCTCGCGTGTCGACGTTTCGTCTCATGACTCAACCCCTTTCAATATCTGACAGGTATCTCCTATAATCGTACAAACGCTCCTCTGCCGCGGAATGACACCATTTGACTCCAGCTTAGGCTTGGCGATGGTGGTCTCGTCTGCTCGAGCCGAGCCAAGGCCAAGCCAAACAGAACGGAGACGAGCCTCAAGTGAGAGGTCCGATCAACCCTCCTCCCTTCCTACCTTCCCCAGTCTGTTGTTCACAATCCGATCAAAACCGCTTCATGACTCCCCTCCCCAGCGATTCCTCGACTTCCTCTCCGCATCATCCTTCTTGCGGTCCCCGCTGGCGTACACCCACGCCCCGGCGGCCGAGTTGGCGAAGCCCATGCCGATGGCCACCCCGCGCACGGCGCCGCGGGCCGTGAACTTGCTCCGGAACGGCTGGCGGCGGCGCAGGGCGAGGAGGGCGTACAGGCCCGAGACGGCGCACGTGAAGCCCGCGCTGTCGGTGGGGAAGCCGGCGAGGTTGACGTAGCTGCTGAAGAGGAGGGCGGGCGCGAAGGAGAATGGGAGGATCTTGAGGGGCCGGCCGTGCAAGGCGGCAATGAGGATCGCGTGGATCGCGGGCGGGAGGGGGTTTGCTGTTTGGTGGTGGTTTTGTTAGTCCTCGTTGGCTGCCATTTGGGATGCAATGGAATCGTGACGATGGAGGGGTGAGAGGGACTTACTGCCGTATTCGTGGACGTTGGCCAGGAGGGAATTTTTCGCCTCTTCGGCGTCTGGTATGCGGTCGCCGGACGCCATTGTCGTGCTCTGCGGAGAGAAATTACCACCGAATGTGCTACTTGGAGATATTATCGTCAATGACTTCAAGACTTGAGAACCACTTCCCCAAAGCTCCTCTTTGTTTCTTGGGGTCATCCAAAAAAGTGACGTGACTTATCGATAAGAGCTGGTCCTTGCGTCTGATGACTCAGCTCAGCCGCAGCCAATCAGCTGGTCCGCGGTTCCGGGGTCGTCTCTCAATTTCGACGTCGAGTGGGCTGGCTGGCTGGCCGTTGCCGTTTGCTGCTTGCTGCAGACTGTCTTGTTCCTCTTTCTGGAAGGGACTTGCGACCCTGACTTTTTTTCCACAACCCATCCTGCGAGACAACGGCCGCGATTTCCTCGAACTCGCACCTTACGCTTCTGTCACTCGACTGAGTCTTTCGAAGACTTTTTCCCTTCGTCGGGTCGGTTTTATCTCAGCTCAGCTTGACAGAGCGCTGCAGCTGATGCGGGGATATCGTTCCGGAGTTCCCAGCCTGGTCAACGCCCATCTTGCCAGATAGGCGAAAACCGCCAATCAACATCGCATCACCGGACGACCTGCACATCGCCAGGAGTTCCCTCGACGACGTTACCCACGAATCGCTACCCCGCGAACTTTTTTCCCACGGCGTCGATTTCTTACTTTCGCGATACATCCGCCATCGGTAAACTCCTTCGTCCATCGACCCAGCAACCCACAACACCAAACAAAACATCTCCCCGTAAACGGCCACCATGCCGAGCGCAACAGCCTCGGGGGCCGATGCGGGCGGCGGCGGCGCCCGCAACCGCGAACACAACCAGGGGAACCAGGGCCGCAGCTACACCGTCGAGCAGAAGGCGGCCGTCCTGCGCATCCGCAAGTGCTCGCCGACGGCCTTCTACGACATCCTCGGCCTCGAGGACGTCAAGACGACGTGCTCCGACGGCGAGATCAAGAAGGCCTACCGCAAGCAGTCCCTGCTCACCCACCCGGACAAGAACGGCCACGAGCACGCCGACGAGGCCTTCAAGATGGTCAGCCGCGCCTTCAGCGTGCTCGGCGACAAGGAGAAGAGGGAGAAGTTCGACCGCTTCGGCACCGACCCCGACTCCAGGTTCGGCCAGGCGCAGGCGCAGAACCCGTTCAGCGGGTTCCAGCAGAGGAGGCAGGGCGGCGGAGGCGGCGGCGGTGGTGGGTTCGGGGGCGGCATGGAGGAGATGACGCCCGAGGAGATGTTCCAGCGGTTCTTTGGCGGGGGTTTCGGCGGGGGACCGTTCGGTGGAGGTAAGAAATCTTCCCGAAGCTCCATGAGCAAGACGGCCAGGAGCTCTCCGTACTGGAGCGCGTCGTCCCACACGACGGACTGGCTGGCGGAATGCGCTTATTGGAAAAGCAAACGCTAATCATGCTCTCACAGGTTTCGACACGGGGCCGCAGTTCGTCTTTAACTTCGGCGGCGGGCCGGGCTTCAGGGTGCACCAGTTCGGCGGCGCGCGGCCGCGGCGGAGACCGCGCGAGGCGACGGACCAGGAGGGCCAGGGGGGCGGGCTGTCGACGCTGATGGGCCTGCTCCCGATCCTGCTCCTCTTCGTGTTCCCGCTCATCTCGAGCCTCTTCAGCGGCGGGGGCTCGTCGCCGAGCACGCCCAGCATGGTGTACGACGCGCCCAAGGGCGCGTACACGCTGCAGCGGACGACGCCGAACCTCGGCGCCAAGTACTTCGTCAACCCGGCCGACGTCGAGGCGTACACCAAGGGCAAGCTGGAGAAGCTGGACCGGACGGCGGAGATCAGCCTGGTGCGGACGCTGCGGTACGAGTGCGAGAACGAGATGATGGCGAAGCGGAGGATGTACGACCAGGCGAGCGGCTGGTTCTTCCAGGACCCGGACAAGATGCGCAAGGCGGACGAGTACGAGATGCCGTCGTGTAAGAGGCTTGATAAGTACGGCGTCGGTCGGGGTTGAGTTGAGTTGAGCGTGACGTGACGGCTGAGGCTTGAATCCGGTTTCGATTGACGGACGGCGTTTTTTTCTGGGACTCATAGCATTTATTTTGTTGGATTCAAGATGGGGGGCCATCGTGATGAAGGAAGTATTGCTTCTATATATCTTTTCCACTCCCCCTCCCACACGAGTCTCGGGTCATGATAGAGAGAGAACGAGAGAGAGGCTGGGGTAATATCAGGTGAGGAATATGATCATGTCTCCCACTCTTTTCGGCATTTCTTCACATAAGTGTGCACTATGGTAAGTATTGGGGCTACCAGCAGGTGTCATCTGTAGATACTGGATGGCTGCTGATGTAGTCAGTCGAGGTTCGAGTTAGACATGCAGACACGGTCAACCCTTATAGACATCGAATTCGAGTGTCAACCTCTGAGCTGAACCGATTAGTCCCTACTAATTCTACATGACAACTCTGTTTCTTCTTCATGCCTGATCCTCGTTCAACCTCCTCATGCCTTTGTCCTGCGTATACATACATGCAACAGAAATCGTAGAGTAACTCTCATCATCATTGACAGGGCAGATGAGTGCATAGGTGTCGTGTGGCAGTCCGACGGTGTTGAAGCCACGACGTGTGACTACTTATAAGTGATACCACGGCTCACGATCGAGACCGCTCCAGAAAAGAATATGCAGATGTTTTGGATATGCCTCATCTTGGTCTTGGACACGATGTGTATGGTTCTCCGGTAGAGCGTTTGCTTGGCCTTGACCGCTCATCGCATATGGAGACGTTTGCTAAGTCACGCGGTAGAAATATGTAATGTCTTTCGTCATCGTCCGGCTGGGCTTGTGTATTTGCTTTGGATATATGATGGATTGTGAATCGAAGGGACTATACGGTCTAGTTTGGTTTCTTGGGACATCTCTTACTGGGAATTTTCCAGAAATGCTTCATGGAAAGGTTCATCCTGTCAAGCACACTATCAAAGTCTCAATTCCATTGTCCGGCACCATTCAATGTTGAGCTGAGCAGACACGTACATTAAGTAGTCTGCATCACAGATGTCAGAGTCCACACATGGACGTTCATCCAACGATTGGGCCTACCAGATCTCAGTATTTAATGGTTGTTATCCCAGCAAGTCTAGATTCTGATCTTTTATTCCCCAGCCTGAATGTTGATGCTTTCGGTGACACTCTGCCTCGTCCAAAGACCCACGGCCGGATTTTACATCCCTCAGAGTCAACAATCCCCTTGGCGAGCTGGAAAACTGTTATCTTGATATTGGGTTCTTAGTGCCGTCGTCCGGGTCTCATCGGTGTTGATTCAGATATGAATACTTGGATTGAAGCCATGGGATATCCAAGACCTGGCCACACCCTTTTCTCTTTGATAGGCACTCACAGCATGGGTTATGTTCGAGGGACTAGCACTTGAAAGATATGCGGCTAATCGCAAGTCATCTTCATGGAGCCGCACTCACGGGATGACATATGAGAATGATCTTAAGAGACCGAGACGCTGTACCAGGTGTAGTGCACCAATCGTGATCTTGGAATCGGGTAGTCGTACGGAATCTAGTAGTGGGACTCTCACGCAGCTTTTTATTGAAACTCTTCCCATTGGATCCAACTCATTCGCTGGTAAACATGCAAATCGACCAAACATTCAAGGAATGTCGTGTGTGTGAGTCTTGTGTGTTGAGACGAATCGTCACGAATAGAGAATGGACTGTGTCATTGGTGTGACAGTAGAAGCAACCAAGTACACGAGTCCCGCTCCCCAACCCTGAATTACACTGGTCGGAATGTTGCCCGACTGAGACGAGGAGGAACATGACCGGAGGGAATACGGAGGCAGCGCCGAGGGCCTCACGGGATAAAGTGGAGTGACACGGGGACCGAAGGGACCCATACGACGGAGGAGTATGACGGCCGAGGAATGGGGCATACAGACAGGACATGAGGGACGACTTGAGTCGGGGACCAGAAGGGAAGGAACGGAGTGACGTTGGGAGTGAAGCAACCACCACGAGCATAGGATGTGAGTGTTGAGCCAAAACGAAAGAAGCGGGTAGTAGAGCGGAGCGGGAATGCGCCCAAAAGGCCCAAACTTTTCCGAGTGACGAGCGAACAACATCTTTCAGCTATGGGCAGCTTTCTATATATTTTTTTCAGGATGGTGGATGGACACAGCTGCCACGCTCAAGTGAACAACATAGAGGAATGCGGTGTTGAACAGCAACGCCATCGGGTGAAAGACAAGGCCGGCGCTGCAGTTACGCTTAAGTGGTGAGTAGAGCGGCGGTTCAACTTCTTCACCCACTCCCACCGGAGCGTCAGCAGAGGTAGCAGTTAAGAGGGGGGACACAGTTGACTTAGGCATCAGAGCGATGTAGGGAGTACGCGCAATCATTAATGTTCATAACGGAATGGGAACCGAGGGTGGGAATGGAGCTGCAATGGAAGGGAGGAAATGCGGTAACTTATGGACCCACGGGAAGGAGGACGAACAACGCGACTTGCAGTGGAGACACGAGGACAACTGAAAAGATGAAATGGCTGAGATCCGGAGAACACACGTTGAGTATAAAACTGAGGCTATTCACCTTGTTGGGTAGAGTACTGATCTTGGTCACCTTGTGGTTTACCTACCTTTTGTTCTTTGGTCCCACGAGGGTTTGCCTCGCTACAAGGACCTCGGCCCCGAGAACACCCAGCACAGTGTAGAATAAAGAAACGTCTTTCAAGCAGGAAGAAGTCCAGTCGGTTCCTACCCATGTCGAATCTCGAGTGAGAAACAAACTAAGAAATCAAACGGGAACTGAACTGAAAGAGTATGGAATGAACATGCTTCAGAGTCCGATGCAGAGAAATAGCATTCGAGAGATATAAAAAGACGAGTCTCCGTACTTTGGATGGTAAGATCTAGTAAGCTTCGGATTCAATTCAGACAAGAACTTCAAGGAGAAACACATTTGACGAGCCAAAGCTTTTACATTTTTCCCTTCGACGAGCACAGCAAGCATAGCTCACGTATCAAACCAACTACTCCAAGAGA